GATGATTCGGATTTTTTCATAACTGTTACTAGAGCCTTTTTGTCCCCCAAACACACCCCCGTGAAAAATAACAATAATATAAAAAAATTGGCCCTGAAAGGGTATTTTTTTTTGTTTATGTGTGAGGGGCTTCTCACACATAAACAAAAAAAACTTTGACGGCTCCGTGGCGCAGTGGCTTAGCAATGAGTTGATGCGCTGGGCACCGCGGGTTCGAATCCCGCACGGAACAAGTATTTGTATGGCCTATAAATAATTGTTCCGGGTCTGGATATTTGTCCTTGTCTAATTTGTGTTTGTAAACTGCCTCCACAATACAGGAGAAATTCCTAGTGTGGGGGTAACGTTTTTTAAAAGACTTAAGACTTAACGTTGTTCAATATAAATTTGATCAAGGTCTGACCAGTAATGTTTGAATTATCCTAAATAATTTAAATTGAGGTCGGTTGTACAAAATTTTTAATGTTACCATTTGTTGTGTGGGCTGTCGATTCATTATAAACATTTAAGATAAATATCGACAATTATTTCGATTGAGCTAATCCTTAGCGTATATTATGTAAAATAGTTTGGAAAATGTACCCACCAAAATCAAGCAAATTACCACGAACGTGGCATTTTTCTTTGTGAAATATAAAAATTAACTACGTTATTAAAATATAATAAAAATAATTAAAAAATCCATATTTATACAGTATTTATACAAATAAATAAAATTGAAGTGTCTGTTTGTAATATATATAAACCTAAGATGTTTTAAAAGTATATATACGTCATACTCGCTCTAAAATGGCAATATGAAAGTCAGGTAATTGCCTGACTCGCATTCAGTCGGGCACGCTCTCGCGTCGTGGTTATACTTCGCTACAACACGTAAATCTTCTAGTTATTCGTGGCAAAAATGCATTCCTGTGTTTTTAGGTGGTGCACAAATTTTACGGCAACTGTTAGAGACAAGAAAAACATCTCATTAATATTTTGAATATAGATGTTTTGTTCATAATTGGTTTTATTATTTCAATACTAACCGCTAGTTTAAACTTTGATGCTAGCTGGTGTGTTCACTTTCTATATCGGTATGTCAATGTCACGCACTCGCGCCAATGATCGCTAAGCAGCAATCAATACGCAACTAATAATGTATATTCATCTATTTCTAACGATAGATATGCCCACTATCATTTGTCTCTTTTTGTTAGCGCAACGTGTCATAATAAATAACTGTACGTACATATAATACTACCTGCGCCACTTTAAAGTACAATAATGTTCGTGTGTAACTTGTCTATCGTTTTTAATACGTCTTTGATCAAAACAACAGCTTTTTACTAATTACATATAAAAGTATACAGGGTTATTTTTAATTTACTAAAGATCTTTTGGGAATATATTAATTACATCATTACAAACAATTTTAGCATAATCACTCTTTACAGAACATATTACATTTACGAAAAAACTACTTTATAGGTTTTGTTGTCATGTCTGACTCCTTTTAAGTCTGTATTTTGTAGTACCTAAACAATTTCAGAATAAATCGTCAAAGAAAATGCCTTATTTATTTTACACCTGATATCAGTATCACACATTGTATTGAAATCGTTAAACATAATTAAATAAGCAAATAACATTCAAAAAAATCACAAATATTAAAATTTATAATAGGTAAGTATGACCTCTGCGACGCACCGCCGGGCCGGTCGACGCCCGCGCTCAGCTGATTGCGTTACGAGTGCCTACCATTCACCACTGTGCCTATTGCACCAGGGCGCCACTTTAAATGACTTTACATTAACTTTTGATATACTTCTTTATTTTGCATAAAACAATTTGATGAACTATTTGATTCTTTTATGAATTTTTTTACGAATTAATAGACATTCTTTAATAGACATTTAGGTAGTTTGTTACGAATACTGCTTGCTAGCAACGTTGCCTGTATCCAAGAGGCAACGTCGCATCCAGCGGGTAGCAACGCCTCAACCTCGCACATGCGGCAGCCCAAGGCCAAGTCAAAGGTATATGACGTCGATACAGATGTCATCAAAGGCGCCGCTTGCCCTTTTTGTAGCACGAGCAAATTAAATGATGAGTATTATTAACTATTTTTTTAATTTAATGTAAATTGTATTTAAAAATGGATGCAGATTAAAATAATTACAAATATTACAATAATATATTTATAAAAATTAAATACAGATATTAACAGTAATTGCATAAAAATATTTAGGTATAATGGTTAAATAAAATTTTAAAATTAGAATAAGGTAGGTACTTGTCCGCGGATGGCGGTGCAAATCGCGCACATAGTGTTCAAAATAGTCACCTCCACATTCTATGTATAGGTGACATCTAAAATTCAACTGGTCACCGACACGAGATAATAGTTGATAATTCACTATGATTTGATCAAATGCCCAAATTATTTTTTCTTTCATATAACTATAACATATCGTGGGTTTCGAATGCGCGACCAGTATACACTAATGTCTTTACATGCCCCCGCATATAAAAATCTATTGGTGTGATATCTGGCGATCTGGGGGAGGCCATGCACAAGGCCCGCCACGTCCGGTCAAGCGACCAGGGTATTCTCTGTTTAAATAATCCTTAACCTGGCGAGCAAATTGCGCCGGCGCCCCGTCATGTTGGTAATACATATTGCGTAGAGATGAAAGTGGTATATCCATGCCCATATAAACGCAACAATTATTGCCTTAATTTTAATGCGAAAAAGTGACTGGCCACACTTGGAACAATCAACGTCATTTCAATTTCAATGCTATTATTTATTTTATTAATACCGCAGCTACACCAGATGGAAGTTAGCGTAGAACATTCTTTTTTTTAACTAAACTGTATGCCAATTAATTGCTCCATAAATGCTCCAGTAGAATCCGAAATTGCTCCACCTCTATTGTTATCAGTTAATTCATAATTAATTTTTAAGAAATTTAGGTGTCGAAAATTTAATTTTGCTATAAAATATAAAATATCTACTTTTTAAAATTAAAGTGTATGCTAATTAATTGCTCCATAAATGCTCCAGCAGAATCCGAAATTGCTCCACCTCTATTGTTATTAGTTAATTTATAATTTTTTTTTAAATTTAGGTATCGAAAATTTAATTTTGCTATAAAATATCTACTTTTTAAAATTAAACTGTATGTCAATTAATTGCTCCTTAGATGCTCCAGCAGAATCCGAAATTGCTCCACCTCTATTATTATTAGTTAATTTATAATTATTTTTTTTTTAATTTAGGTATCGAAAATATAATTTTGCTATAAAATATAAAATATCTACTTTTTAAAATTAAACTGTATGTCAATTAATTGCTCCTTAAATGCTCCAGCAGAATCCGAAATTTCGGATTCTGCTGGAGCATTTATGAAGCAATTAATTGGCATACAGTTTAGTTAAAAAAAATAATGTTCTACGCTAACTTCCTTCTGGTGCAGCTACTCACAACTACAATTAATTCATTTCGGTTTATACCAAGGAGGTTAGTTTCTACAAAGGTACTCTGTGCTGTCATGCGTAAACATCATATTAGTCTGTGGTGCTGTCATTCAAAATCAGGAGTCATGAGAATGAGATGTCATCCTTTCCTTTTCTATCTTGCTATATTGTCATTAGAATTATTTCCCTTGCACCATGGGCATGCAACTTAGAACATTATTTTACGAACAAAATGATACGTTTTATGTGCTTCCATCTACATTCCGAAGCGCTAGGCTAGACTTATTTTAATCTCACTAGAGGGCACTTATATATTAAATCTATGCATACGCAATAATCCACGCGCACTATGCAGTTAGTAGCGGTCACTGGTTACGCTTAAATTGTTATTAATATTTATTGAACATTGTTTATTTTTAGAAAATGCCATTTTATCTGTGTTTTCAGACAATGAAAAACTGCTAAAATATTATTAGAATACGAAGGTAAATTTCGCCAAATCGCACAAGGTTATAATATCTCAGGTGGATAATCGGGCGGTCCCTAAATCTAAAGACCCCGGATCGCGTCCAGCAGATGTGTTTATTTTTTCCCTTTTTTTCAAGTTCCTTCTTTTGTAAGCGCCGTCTGTTATGCAAAGCACGACACTAAAGAAAATTAAATTCATAGATAAATATTTAAGTAGCAAGATTAAATTTGAGTCGCGCATCTATCTCTAGTATATATACAGTAATCTATGCCTTGCACCCAATGGCCGTCTACTACTATCCATAGATAAATAAATATGTAGCAAGATACTACTAGCCCAAAGTTTTTCATATATTCTAAGATAACTGTTCAAGACACAATATTTTTGAAAAACAAAGGTTTAACTTATTTCTTTTTAAAGTTAAAACCAATTATTTTTTTTAATTTTATTCTTTGGGAATTTATCAATTTTACAATTTATGATAATGGCAACGCATAAAAACCCTCCGCCATTTTATTTGTATCGCCATTTCATTTATTTAGTGAGATGGAGAATTGTGGGTTTAGAAGTGAGATAGAACTACGATAATTTAAAATTGTATAAATAATTATTTCTATTTGTATTCTTGATAAATTATAAAAACTGTGTAAGATGAAGGTAAGAAACAGTTACAGATGTGTTTACAGGATTTTATATTTTCAATTTATTCTCTCATCTCGGCGTTTTGTCTGTCAAATGAAATGAATTTTTAACAATGGCGTCTGTCGCTTACTTGAAGCGCGTCTATAGATAGTCCGTCATCCTTTTCTTACATATATCGACGCTATTCACAGAGACACTGCTTTTGATCTTTTTACGAGTAGAGTAGACTGATAAGAAATATTCACCCTTACCTTCGCACTTTGTGTTTTGGAGTTTCTCTTTCGTGTGAACAATTAGCCGCGCTTTTAAATTTTTAGTCAACATGTCTAGGATTTCGTCAGTATTATGGAAACTTTTTTGCAGATTCTTGTTTAAGGTATAGAGACGATAATATATTCCTTGTGATGAAATTATAACATCATTTAAGATGTTCACGACTAATACTGTACAAACCGGCAGTGTGCCTACACTGCAATATCAAGAACATCCATCACAAAAATCACAAGGAAAAAATATTGAAAATGTACAAAAGAGTGCACAACAAACGCAGCAAACCCAACAACAGGTATAGTTTAATTTCCTGTCAAGTTGAATAACTGTCCTATTGCCTACCTCAGTGCTAATAAATTTATGATAAACATTCTTTATTTTTTTTAAATTTCGATAAAAGTAATAAGTAAAGAAAATAAATAATGTAAAAGAAATAATTTTGTTTCATAAAAATAATATTTAATTACAAAGCAAAGCATTCATCATTAATTTCATTCATTAATTTCTTGCTTTATTTCTAGGAATTTCCTACATTTTGCTATACAACAAATGTTAATATGATAGGAAAAATTAATACTGGTACTGCCAGCGGTACTGGTGGAGTCAACATAGCACAACTTACAACTAGTGATGATAAAACTTGCTATATAGCTCAACCATTCTCTTATAATTATGCACTGGTTAATCAAATGCAAATTGCACCAAATGGAATACAAAATACTATATCAAATATAAGTTTTAAATGCGATGTTTGTGGCCTAATGTTTGGACATTTGACTCTCCTTAATGCACATAAAAGAATACATGCCCAAGATACAGGTAAGTTTTTGATCCTTTTTTTACCAAATTAATCCTCATTTTAGTAATGAGGCTTTTGCCTTATTCCTATTTCTGGTATTCTTAGATAATGTTAAGTTTAAAATTAAACTTCTTCACTTTTTGGCTTCTAATAATAGAATTATGTGAATGTCAAGTTAGTCATGGGTGTGATTACAGATAAAAAATATTTTTTTTTATTTAAACATTTTATGTGATAGGCTTCCAAATCTGTGACAAAAGACAATACACAAAATTAAATATCCTGCCATCAAAATTCAAAATACTTTATTAGTGTTTGAGAACCTAGAGCAACCTAGTAAAATTAGTAGGATGTTCCCAAGTAATTTGCCAAGTTAAAATCTGATCTAGCTGATGGAAGAAAATCATGTATGAAAATTTGATACTTAGAGTACCTGTTTGTTGTGTTACTGTCTCAATCAATAATTAGTATACTATATTCTAAAAGACCTGGACTCTAAGCCAACACAACTTTTAGCCTTTATTGCAACATTTATATAAAGCTTTTTTAATAAAGAGAGAGGAGGATTGATTGAATATTCTGTACAAATGTAGAGTACAGGGCTAGAGATATTAGATTTAAGATGGCTAAGAAAGCTGTAGAGAATTATTAAACTATTTTCCATTTCCATTTTTGACATTCAGCATATAAGATTTGCCTGATCTAAAATGGCAGTGAATTCACATGTAAATGATGATTTAAATAAATTTAAAATTGTACAGTCTTGCCAGTTTTCTGTGGTGATTTTCTTTAATTTGCAGTTAGGATCAATTGTTTTTTTTTTTTGTTAATACCTGGGTTAATAATAAACTCTTGAAAAAACTTTAAACTTTCATAAAAACTTAATCTGGAATCAAATTTTAACAATGTGAAGTTTGATTGTGTTTCTCAAAATTGTATAAGAAGAATACTGGCTTTAGTTTCAATAAGATCTTAAAAATAATTACATGTTATTTATTAATACTATGAAATAACAAATATTTAATGCTGGTTACCAAAATACATGCAAATGTACAAATTTATAAGTTTAGGAAAGCATTAGCTTATTACTACACTATTTTGTTTGCCATAATCATGCAAACCTCATTGTTTTTCTCCAAAAATCACTACATCCAAACTGCCTATCTAAATACATCTTCCTTTTCACAAATTACAATCTGCTTTATGCAGGTAATATTATGATATAGGTAAAATAGACAAACTGCACTAATAAATCATTATTGTCATCCATTGTTCATAACATATATTATGACATGGTTATAATGATATTTGTACATTTCTATGAGTGTGTATGGAGATTAATAAATGTTAATATACTATGCAGATAAAAACTTTGAATTATAAATTATGAATGGTGTAGCCTTTATTAACCTCTCTTGCACACTGTTGTTGACTTCTTACAACCCCTAGTAACAACCACAAAAATAATGTCATTCAGGACTTGTAGTTAGCATTTTTTTACTTCTAACTACATGTCCAAGTAGCAGAATATAATATTTAATATACTTTTAAGTTGTAATACCTTTCATATAGTATTTTCAATGATTAAATTATACTAAAAATAAATAATATTATTTGTTAATTGAATTTCATCCATCCATTCATTACAGCCCACAAAATTACACTGCTGAACATGGGCCTCCATAGACTTCCTCACTACACTATAAACACACACAGCTAACATGAGGTAAACATAGGGGAGAAATAATAAAACTTGACTCAATTTTGTAATACAATATTTAATTAATAATTTAATAACATATCATTCAATTTATTTGACATCTACTTTTCAAGTTTTTCCAATAACTAAAGATTGTTATGGCAGACAGACATACAGGCTTGATGAGATTTATAGTTCTATTATTGGTATGAGTAATGAATATGTGAAATATGTATGTTTCGCATGCAGTATTTGCACATTTTATGTGCATGACCAGCATAATTGCTATGAATTAATTTTAGTTTGTGTTTTAAGCAAAATATGTGTTGCAGATAGTGTGTGACCAACATAACTGCATAGTAGTGTTTTTAGTTGTTTGTGATTTTAAGCAGAATATGTGTTGCAGATAGCAACATAACAGTGGTGGCAACAGGTGTGAGCACTGCTAATGAAGTGGCAATGCCTCCGCATATACAAATTCTGTCATCTGACCCAACAGACCAGCAGCAGCATCATGTACAGGTTCAAGATAGTAAGTATGCTATTAATAATATAAATATACACAATAAATATTCCTGTCATTTTTAATATTCTCTGTTCATTCATTTACTAGAGATAAAATATCATAATAACAAGCTGTTCTGTTTATTGTCAGTCTTGTAACGCTGTCATATATAGCAACTCTTGATGATTTATTATTGGCTTGGTAACACAGCACAGTGGCTAAGTGTTACACTGTAGTGCTGCAGGCTGCAGATTTTAAACCTGCACAGAAAATTACCTGCATAAACAACAGTACAAATTATATTGTTTTGGGATCTGGATGCTTTTCCATGTGCAATTTATGTATGTAAAACATCTTTATGGTAAAAGAGATATTCCTAGTGTGGATGTAATGTCTTGTTTAAATATACTAAGTTGGATTTACTTTAAAGACCACATTATGTGCATGACCAGCATAATTATGCCATGGGTTAAAATCCTAGCTGGACCAAACATTAGGCAGGTGGATTAGTTGATGTAGTAACAGCTCCCACCCAGGTTATGCTGTGCTATTCCACTGCTCTGATGAATTGTTTTCATATCTATACATATAAATAAAATTAAAGAGTCTGTCTGGAAAATCGAAAGAACTGCCTTTTATTGAGCTGATGGGGCCATTTGCATGTTATTAAGATATGAATAAACATTTTTTAATATTTTTGTCTCCTGTCTGTTCTGTCTGTCAGGGCTAATCTTTGGATTGGCTGAACCAATTGTAATGAAACTTCATGAACAGATAGAGAACAATGTTAGGAGTGATCTAGGCTATCTATCTGAAAAACATGAAATTTCATTTGATAAATTGAAAAATTGATAAAATAATTAGCCTTCGATAAATATCCTAAATCTAAATATTGCCTGCTACATTAACATATCCTACTGCTTCTGCTATCTGCTTATATATAATATTCATGATTTAGCATATAGTGGTAGTTTATATTAAAATATAAAGTTATAGATAAAACATATTGTTACAATAACAGGTATTATATTATTACAGCATGGCATGTTATTTTTTATAAAACTGAAGTAACAAACAAACTTACAGTTCACTTGATGGTTAGTGACTACTGCAGCCCATGGACACCTATTATAACCAACTTCAAACAAAGGCTAGAGATGCATTTTCAATTATTAACTTATATTACAATATAGGTAAAATACTTGAGTGGCAACCACATGGCCTAGTAGTCAAAGTACCTAGCTACTATGCCATGGGTTAAAATCCTAGCTGCACCAAACATTTTTACAAAAACTTAGCCTACTTCTAGTCTTGGAATAAATAAGTACGACTGTTGTGGTTAAGTCAAGCCATATGTGCTGAATGCACATGATAGGTAGCTGCAGCTTGGCTCTACTATCGTTTTAAAACATGGTTTCCCTGTCTAGAAAATAAAAGGCAAAAGAAATAAATTTATAGCATTTTCCCTTTGGTTAGTTCTTTGGTTTTAATTTTTTTTTTGTACTAATTGTTTCTGCGATTTTTCTTTATTTAGTATAATATATCCAAACAACCTTTTTTATCATTTTATAATGACAAACTAATTAATCTAACTACTTATACCAATAAAAAAATATCTGATATACTTTTAAAGCAAATTCTTGCCATTTCCATTTCAGTAAAAAAATTGTAGTACTCATACAATTTAATTATCATTTCAGCAAAACCAGTTATAATAGATAAAGTTCAAAAATGCATAACATGTGGCGGTCCAATCAATAATAATCCCAAGAGAAAAGGTCCCAAGCTTATACGCTGTGAAAATTGCATAGCACAAGATTCAGTAGATCAACAGCAAAGAAATAACCAGAGTAAGTATTGCCGTTTTAAATAAAATTTCTAAGTAATAAAATGACAGCCTGTTATAAAATATCATGTTAGTAAAAGTCTTCTGCTTCTTTTAAATTATGGCCTCTTGATAGAATTCTCCCAGTGTCAAGTCAGTCATGGGTGTGACAACTAAATAATAAGTAGTACCAAAAGATTTACATTAATATTGTTACCAAAATGAGTAAAAGTAACTGTTTTGAATAAATGATGTAAGTTAGATCTACCTTATAAACTTTCACACAAACCGTTATGATGTTTTGGCACTGGCTTGTTATATAACCCAGTTGGAAATCTGTGTTTTATACAGATGTATAAAATATATATAATGGGTATGTGATTAAAGCAATATGCAAGTGGTTCAAAACAGTATGAATACTGGACTGTTAGTACAACTTGCAACAGAAATAACTATACAAAGATGATAATAGTGGATAAACTCTTTTTATGCATATTATTTGCAGTCTAAAGCTATACATAATATTTATTATAATTCCCATTTATCATAATCAATATATTTTTTATGAAAATAATTTTTTTCACTTTAAAAGTATCAATGCTAATACTAAGTTTACAATTCTCAGTGAATACAACACAAATTTTGGTGGCCTCTGATGAAAACGTAAAATTTGAAGTAGGCAGTGTGAGCACAGTGCAACCTACCACTGATCCATTATCACTCACACAGTCAAACCATCAGCCACAGCAACCACCAAAGCCTTGTAAGTATTCCATTTTGTGTTGTTTTGTGTCTTTGACACTGTTACTAGATGAATTTTGTAATATTAGAAGAGTTAACAGTTCATCTGATAGTAAGTAGTTTGGTTCTGCAACCAGTTGAAACCTGAAACCAACTTCAAACAAAAAGGTCACGGATGCAATATCACCCTGCACCACTAATATTAAATGCCTCACCACCTGTAATACTTGCTGTCTTACTCTCCAAACAGGAACACGACACTTAATCCACTGCTGCTTGGCGGCAGAAATACTTAAGGGGGTCTTACTAACCCAGACACTCCTAGGCACAAAAAAAGCTCGATAAAGTTTTAAATCATAAAAAATTGTTGTTTTCATAATACATTGTAACTTTTGCTATATATTTCTAGTATTTACTTAGTCTGGGATTTTTTTGAAATGTTTCTGGACTGTAAGGTTCTGAATTACCTAGATTAAAAATTTAATATTTGAATTTTTTTCAGTACCAGGCCATCATCCTGTAAAGAAAAGGACATTAGCATCTGTCACAAAATGTCAAAACTGTAATGGTTCTGGTATAATATTCATAGGCGGTAATAAAAACAAGCATAATCAACCAGATATGGATAAACGTTTTCACTGCAACATATGTGGAGGATCCTTTTCCAGATACTCATCACTTTGGTCTCACAAAAAGTTACATTCCGGAGAAAAGAATTTTAAATGCGGCATTTGTGGGATTGCATTTGCTAAAGCTGTTTATCTTAAAAATCATTCTCGAATACATACAGGAGAAAAGCCTTACAGGTTAGTTCCCCCTTCGTTTTTAATTCGTGTTATGTAGAGCATTATGAGAAGTGATCCAAAAGTATTGAATAGTATGTATAACAACAAATATGGTTTAAATTATATTTATTTTTTTAATAATCTCCAAAACCCTGAGAAAAATCTTTATTTTTTCCTCCTAAAATGCCTCCACAGCAGTCATATCATTTCTTTGCCTGCACATTTTCCATGAGTCAATGAAAAAGGATTCTGGAAAAGGTTAACGCAGAGCTAGATCTGGAAAATAGGGCAATTGTTTAAGCTATTTGAATCCTGATTATTGGATGGCAGCTATCCCAACTTCAGCTTTCTGTATGGATATATTAGGAAACAAAACTCGCTTGTAATTTGCCCCTTCATTTTCCTTTAATAGCCTCATGCAATCTTCTAACTTGGTCTGTGCACATAACAGTGGCTCTCTTTTTCAAATATCTCACCATTATAACTCTGTCATTGTCCCAATAAATTGATGGCTTCCCTGCTTGATTTTGAAGCTTTGAATTTATGCGGCGCGTCGGTAAGACGGTCGGACTTTTCAAGCCATCGATTGCTGCTTAGACTCAATCCCAAGTCAAAGTTTCGTCCATAGTCATAAATCGAGACCAAAAAATCCTGGTCAGCCTGGAGAGGACAACTCCCTTTTCTCCTTCTCAGGTAAGGCGCACCAGATCACAAGGTGCGTCTTCCTACAGATATGCAGAAGTCATGGGGCCAGGAAATAACCCCAATCAGTTCAAGCCACGGAGGGAGAGTAGGGAGAGTAGCGCGGCCAAGCCAGCGTCGAGGATAGGGCGAGTATTGCATCGCCATACCAACACTGCTCTTCCCCAGCGACTTCACTTCGGCTGTGGCGGTAAGGGTAGGGGCCTTCACCTCAGGCCAGCCATATGGGTTCCTCTTAATTAACCATAGGTGATCAAGCCATGGCTAAGCTGCCCCCAATACTGCCAAGTCAGTGTACATCTTTGTTGACATTTTTTCAAACAGACATTGACTTGATGGTGGCTCTTCGTATTTCTCAACTTTTGTGTTTCATCACTTTAGCTATTGCTCTTCATGTGAATATATTTCCCAGAAAATGAACTTACTTAATCAATTTTTCGACGTGAGCTTGCAAGTGTGTAGAGTAGTTAATCCTAGAACTCTACTCTATTCTGGGCACTAGTTATTCTATTCTTATACTGGGGTCCTGGAGTACTCCATACAAAATGGTGTGTATTTTTTTTTAATTAAAATCAATGTATGAATTTTTTTTTATTATCAAATAATAGGATTTTCTTTTAAGTCAGTCTTAAAACATAAAATCTTAGTATTAATTTGAGCATTTTTTACAAACTTTAATCTGATGATCCGAACAAATAGGTATTTTACACTTATGGCACATTGTTTTGCTTTTTCGGTCTTTAGATCTTGGACAAAAGTCACAACGTCTTGGTGTCTGCTGTACAGGAACATACCTAGGCAAATCGGTTATTTTTTGGAGAATCGCTGCATTGGTCCCTTTCATATCCCTCCTAAAATTTTCTAAAATCTAATAAATCTAAATTTAATTAATCTTAGGTAATATTCCTCCAAAAGTCCACCAATGAGCTCTAAGCCTAATTTTTTTTAAAGAAAGTGCGTCTAAACTTTATATTTGGTTTATTATTTGCCTTTGAGCACTTTTAGAGGACCCAGGAGTTAATACCCACTGCATTCAATAATCCGTAAAATAAGCAGAAGAGCTTTTTTAGGTGGACAATAACATAAAAGTGTTATCGTTCCATCGTATGCATACATAGCAGTATTTTGTTCCTGACCCCTTTACTCTAAATCATTCTGTTAACTGACTTTGATTTCTCACATCTACCTCTTCTTCTTTACCAGATTCGTGGTTTAAGATAGAATTGATCTCTTCGTCAATCAAACCTCGATTTACAGCCATCTGAAAAAAACAATAATAAAATTAATCCATTAACTCGGTAATTTCTGCAAAACAAATAGTTAAAACAATGATTTTTCTGATGATCTTGTTAATTAACAATGATTTATATAATATTGTATTTTAATGGAACACTGCGTCGGTTGACAACACTGTATCTGATATGAAAGAAGGTTCAATATGATGTTATAGGCTCTCCATGTTGTTGTTTTGAGGTTAATAAAAGGCATGTTTTATGTACAAGGTATTATATCTTTAATTATCCCCATAATCCTTAACAGGGTTATGGGCCCAGTACGGCCATCAGTTTTATAGTGGATTAATAAGTGTTAAAGGACAGAAAATGTCAAAAGAAAAATATCAAATTGTCCCTTTCGCGGGGGACAATTACAACGCATGGGAGTTTCGATTAAAAAGTATCCTGCGGGATAATGGAGCAATAGAGGCGATCGAAATGTAGGATTTCAGTAAATCTACGGATAACAAGCAATTGCAATTGGAAGCTAAGGCCCAGGCTATCATAATAGCGGCAACCGCCGACAGTCACCTCGAATACTTAAAGGACAGATCTGCTTATCAAATGATTAAAAGCATGGAAGACAGCTTTAAGAAGAAAGGTACACAATCTAAATTATTTATAAGAAGAGAGTTGTCCGATATGAAATTCGACGAACGGAAACCTTTAATGGAACATTTTATTGACATGGAAAAGCTATTTGCACAACTCGGGGATGCTGGCAGTGAGCTCTCGGAGGAAGAAAAGGTTAACTATTTACTCCTATTCATGCCGAAATCTTATGAAGGCATTATCACGGCTTTGGAAATTGTGGAGGAATTGAAAATGGACTTCGTGAAAAACAGACTGCTTGGGGAAGAGGAAAAACGGAACAGAGGAGCGACCAAATCCCTTGACTCTTCAATCTTCTTGTGTTATGGAGTTTTAAATGGGTTGTTGACTCAGGTAGTTCATTTCATCTTGAAAATGACATTAGTTTATTCTTTAATTATTGTAAACTGGATAAGCAAATTAAAATTTCAGCTGCCAAAAATGGCGTTGATTTAGAGGCTGTTGGTGTAGGAACAATAAAATGTTATTTAAGTGATTTTAAAGTTGATATTATATTAAATGATGTGTATTATGTACCACAATTAAGAAAAAATTTATTATCTGTTTCCAAAATGGAAAAGCATGGTTTAAAGATCATCTTCAATAAAGGGGAAGTTAAAGTTTTCTCAGAAACCAATGAATTGCTTATGGTTGGGCATAGACTAGGGTCCCTTTATTTTGTAGAATTTAAAGTAATATTTAATGATTGTTATTATGGTGAAAAATCAGACAACAATGATAATTCAGTAGAAATTTGGCACAAACGATTTTCTCACTTAAGTTATAGTAGTTTGAAAACTTTAGTAAATAAAAATATGGTTGATGGTTTAACTGATTTGAAAGAAAAAAATTTAGAAAATAGGCATTGTGAACCATGCATACTTGCTAAGATTACACGCCTTCCTTTTAATGGGAAAATGTATAAGGCTAGGAAACCCTTAGAACTAGTACATACCGATGTTTGTTCTGTTAGCCCTTCTACGTGGGATGGGTATAAACACTTTGTTACTTTCATAGACGATTTTACCCACTTCACCGCAGTTTACTTATTAAGAGACAAGTCTGAGGTTTTTGAATATTTTAAGACTTATTATAATTATGCTAGTAATCATTTTGGTCATGGTATATTGAAGTTAAAATCAGATAATGGTGGTGAGTATATTTCTAGAAATTTTAAATCCTTTTGTGATGAAAAAGGCATAGTATTGCAGTATTAGTACTGCTGCATATAATCCCGAAATGAACGGAGTAGCTGAAAGAATGAATCGTACTCTGACTGAAAAGGCGCGTGCATTATTGCTAGATTCACAGCTTCCTAAAGAGCTTTGGGGCAAGGCCCTGCGATATGTGGTATATGTCACTAATCGTAGTCCCACTGCTTCCCTTAATGTTACACCATTTGAAATGTGGGAGAGAAGACGTCCTAATGTGTCTAATTTTAGAATATTTGGGTCATCTGCATATGCCCATATTCCCCAAAAACTCCGAATGAAGTTGGACCCCCGTGGTGTGAAATTGAAAATGGTTGGGTATGCTCCGGAGGGGCAGACAGATTATGGGATGCTAATGAAAGAAGGATACGCATAGAACGAAACGTATTGTTTAGGGAAGAAACATGTTCAGAGTCCCCTGAAACGATTAGTATTAACGTGGAGTCTATCTCGGATGGGAAGGAAAAGGAAGGTGGTAGTAGTCCTGAGAAAACCAAAACCCCTTTAATTTCTGATAAAACCCAAACCCATGATACTGAGAAAATTTTAACTTATGATAATAATTTAGAGTCATTACAAGCTGAGGGAAGGGATACAGATAATGTTAATTCTAGGGAGAAAATAAAGAAAACTAAACCAAAATATTTACAAGATTTTGTCACTGATAATTCAGATTTAGGTGATATATTAATGGCTTCATTTTTATCTTGTTCTAATGGTAATGTCCCAGAAAAGTATAATGATATAGATTCTTATGACGATAAAGATAGGTGGTATGAAGCGGTAAATGAAGAAATTAAATCTTTAGAGGATAACAAGACTTGGGAAGTTGTAGAAAGATCAAACAACGCTAAGTTAATTGATTGTAGATGGATTTTTACAAAAAAAGCGGGTAATGTATATAAAGCTAGATTAGTTGCAAGGGGGTTTCAACAGGAAGGTAGTTTTACCGAAATTTATTCTCCCGTTTTGAAATTACATACTCTCCGAGTTCTTTTATCATTAGCTGTTCAAAGGAACTATTTAATTCATCAAATGGATGTTAAAGGTGCTTTCCTTCATGGTGAAATTGATGATGTTGTATACTTAAAGCCCCCACCTGGTGTAAATATAAATACAAATTATGTCTTGATATTGAAAAAATCACTTTACGGTCTTAAAAAATCTTCATAAAATTGGTACAATAAATTTTATGATTTTATGAAAAGTAAAGGGTTTCAAAGAGCAGAAAGTGATTATTGTTTATATTTTAAGGATGGTATTTACATTTTGTTGTATGAGGATGATTTATTAATTTTAGGTGAGGACAATTCAAGGATAAATAATGTTAAAGAAATTTTAAGCACAGAATTTAAAATGAAAGATCTAGGATCTAAAAATTTAAAATATCTGGGTATTAATATTATTCAAGATAGTGACTGTTTGTATATTAACCAGAAAGAGTATTTAAAATCTATATTGACAAAGTTTGGTATGTCTGAAGCAAATGCTAGTGAATCACCCATGGAAGTTAATGTTAATCTTGATGATTATACGGTTGATTACTCTTTAGAGCATAAATACAGAGCTTGTATAGGTTCTTTAATGTATGCTGTAGTAGGTTCAAGACCTGATTTGTGGACCATCAGAAAGGTTATGGCAATTCTTGAAAAGGATTTTAAGATACATTAAGGGTACCATTAATTATAATTTAAAATATAATAAGAATTGTAATTCCAAACTACTAGTTGGATATGCTGATGCTAGTTTTGCTGTAGATAAAGATAGGAAATCTATAACTGGTTATGTATTTAAACTATTTGATAACAGTGTTATTTGGCGTTGCAAAAAGCAGAGCACTAGCTTTAAGCACTACTGAGGCAGATTTATACTCCCTCAATGAAGCCGCTCTGGAGGCTTGTTGGATTAGGAAATTATTAAATGAGTTAGACGTTAGTTGTAATACCACTACCATATATGAAGACAATAAAAGTACAATATTTTCTGTATGTAATCCTGATCAAAAAAGAATGAAACATGTAGACATAAAATACAACTTTATTAAACATAAAATAGAATGTAAGGAAATTTGTGTTATGTATATACCTACAAAGCAACAAATAGCTGATATTTTTACGAAACCATTAAATAAAACCTCTCATAATTATTTTGTACATAAATTAGGATTGGAAGAGTTTAGTTCGCATTGTGTATTTTTAGTTTGTTAGTTCTGTTAATATAAATCATTGGGGGGAGGTGTTAATTAACAATGATTTATATAATATTGTATTTTAATGGCAACACTGCATCGGTTGACAACACTGTGTCTGATATGAAGGAAGGTTCAATATGATGTTATAGGCTCTCCATGTTGTTGTTTTGAGGTTAATAAAAGGCACATTTTATGTTCAAAGTATTATATTTTTAATTATCCCCGTAATACTTAACAGATCTTAGTAATTTAAGAAATAAAATCATTTAAAATAGTGAAATGAAAAATGAATATATTTATATAAAAATTATACATTATAAAAAAAATACTTACGGGTTTCCTACACCGGGGTACTGGGGTACCCTAAATCGCTCGTAGATATGTCCACACAGTGCGACTGTCGCCGCTGCACTATTGAATCGAAAGTGTTCAACACTAAACTAAAATACACGGACGCTCAACCCTATGGGTTTTATACAAACAGAAATAATTAGGAAACAAACCACTGTGGGTGCTAGATTTTAATGTTCATAAAAGTTTGAAATAAGCTTAAACTCAAAACATATTGACCCTTCACAGACAAAAATAATGTCCTCCAGACCGAAGTTCGATCACGGCGGCCAGCCTTAACGGAGACTAGCCATCGGCGCAGGACAGGATAATTAGTGCCCAAGTGTATGCGCAAGCATAGGTGCACTCTCTTTTCCCTCGGATTCGAACCCGGGACCTCATGATCAGCAGTTGCGTTAAGACCAATGAGACAGGCACAGACAAATAAGGGGTTAAATAATCTTAAGATTATGCCCGTTTCATATCTCCAACGTTTTATTAAAATCTTCGCTATTCTTTTATTTTAAGAGACTGATTGTAGTCGCTAAAAAAATATTATTTTTACAGATGTAGTACATGCGGAATGCAGTTTTCTCAGTCTCCACATCTGAAAAATCACGAAAGAACACATTCAGGGGAAAAACCGTATGTTTGTGAGGTGAGCATCTTTTTTTAAAAAAACTGTATGAAAAGTGGCGGCTTAAAATAACCCACTACCCAATTTCATCCCGCAAGAGGCGACAAAGGAAAACTGAAATAGGAAATGAGCATCAACATATTCCTTAAGATAAGATAATCACGGGCTGATTTCCACAACGCCACTTCTAAGCGCGTATTTTGCCTGTGGGCAGGAATAAAGCAATTATTCGGGCCATGAAATCTCCCCGAAGAAGTTCAACAGCCCTTTAATGTTGCGAGCAATTTCGGGGAGTGATCTCGGTGAGCCGAGATGTTTAGCCCTGTATGCAGCAACTTCCGGACATGTCAGCAACAAGTGGGTCGCCGTTTCTTCCTCCCCCCCACATGCCCTGCACAGGGGACTATCTGTAACACCTATGGGAAATAAATGTTTGTAAAGGAGCCATGTCCTGTGATAGCCCTTGTTACTATTGTGATCTGTAGCTTGTTTAATCTCATTAGAACCTTGATTAAACGACTGTATATTGCTGGCAGGGCTTCACTAGCTTGTCTACAGTCTACTTTGTCGTTCCAAAGCTGAGCGTGTTGGTTAGTGAAGTTTTTACATACCAGTGAATGAATGTTACCAAAGGGAATTGGTATGATTGGTTCCGGCCCTATAGTGGCCAGAGCCGATCCTCTCCTGGCCAGTTCGTCTGCTGCGTCGTTGCCCCTGGATCCACTGTGTCCCTTTATCCATTGCAGAGTCACATTGTTATGATTACATACCTCGTTTAGTTGTTGATGGCATTCATATATTAATCCCGAGTTTACCACATTGCAACTCAGAGTTTGTAGTACCGTAATGCTGTCGGTCATTATTCTGATGGAGGAATCTTTTACTTGCCTGGTATCTATTGCTATGACCGCTTTTATGATACCCATACATTCCGCCTCAAACACTGTGTTGTTGGTACCCAGCAGTGTACATATGTGGATAATAAGGTCATCTGAGAAAGTTCCAGATCCTGTATTATTTTGTGCTTAAACCCATCAGCTGGTTGATTTCATTTAATTGTATCTTGTAGTTCTTATCAAACACAAATTGTTTAGGGATCTTATCGTCGTATTTGGCTTGTAAGATGGGAATTTCGGAGTTAATTCTGTCAATCTAATTCCTTTAAATGAGCAATTCTTGTATATATATATATATATATATATATATATATATATATATATATATATATATATATATCGTAAGAATATATCGCACGCTACTTTATATGCATTATAGGCACAATTCCTACATGTGGTTCTTTTATAGTACTTATGTAACAAATTTTAAGTGCTGTTTTCGAAAAATATAATATCTATAATAGTGAATTACTGTTATAGTTAATAAGTAACATTGAATTCAAACGACGGCCATGCTTATGTTTCCCTCTTTTCTTTTTTGATGAAATTGTTTATCCGAATGCGAATTAATTTAACAATATGAAACTGAAAACATCTATAAAAAGAGTTTCACGAAAATATTTGGCAGTGCAACACTGTTAAATATATTTTTTCTTGATCTTGTTAAAAATTTGTATACTCCTGTTTTTTAGAAATGATCTGGTTCGACAAATGTTTTTCGCTTATAAATATGTACATAAGGTTAATAAATGATAATGAGTATTATAATATTCAAAATTACATATCTACACTCTGGCCGTGTATGCCTACGCGGGCGGCGGCATCGCCTGTATTCCCGTTTGCGAATCAAAATGCAGATGTATTGTCACCCGTGAGGACTAAGATGGAATGCATCTTTTCCAGTAAAAAGGGTCTCCAGTTCTCTACACTCACTATACGAAACACAGTAGTGTTAAACTGCTATTTTACGCTGGTATTCTGTGAGAGCGTGGTCTTTCCCCGTTCCAGCCGACACATTCGTGCTACAACTGTACTATAGTGTATATAGCTGCAGATGGCTCTACCACGTATAAACTTCTATGATGAACCACTTATAACATTTTAAGTTTACCTGGAGTGGTTAACAATCAATCGCAATCAGCTGCACCTAGTTGTCACCGACTAAACCTAAGTGCATGCGCACTTCGGCTATTATCCGTAACATATAATATATTAGATTGTGATCCAATGATACATATCTGTTGAATAATATTTTAAAATTGTGTCATTTTGTAGGTATGTGACAAAGGTTTTGCGAGACATGCAACATTATGGAATCATCGTCGCATTCATACTGGAGAGAAACCATACAAGTCAGTATCACCTACGTTTAAATTAACTTAATTCACTTACAAGTTTCACCTGTTTAAGTAAATGTATTCACTTGTGAATGTTATGTATTTCTAATGTATTCAGGTTGCTTTAAAACAAATATTCTTTTGTTGAACGCTCTATTGAAGTGCTACAGACCTGTTCCCATAATGAGCCTGTCTACATTCTGTTTTTGAGAGTTATTACGAATCGTCTCGCACGCAGACTTGACCTCCAGCTAGTTTCCGAACTTTAGTACAAAGCCAGGGCTTTAGTACCAATTAGACAAATTGTACAGTAAACCGAGGAGACCAGCTACTTGCGTATGTGAAATTTGGGTGATGCTACAGTACAGCAAAGTTGTATGTCAGTAAATCAAAAGTGCTAAAGTGTTTGTACAGTATGGCTACTCTATGGTTTTCCAAGTACAGAACTAGTGCACGAAACCTATCTAACTGCAGAGAGGTGTAAGACAGAATGACATTATATCCTCGAAATTCCTCACTTGCTTTTTTAAACAGGAACACAGTCCACCTAATTAGGACAATCGATTGCCTAGTTAAGTTCAACTTTGACCCTTTCCTTTTTTTTTATAGGAGAGGGGGCAAACGAGCATACGGCTCACCTGATGGTAAGTCACTACCGCCGCCCATAAACAACTGCAACACCAAGTGAATTGCAGGTGCGTTGCCGACTTTTTAAAAAGGAGTAAGCTCTTTTCTTGAAGGTCCTTAAGTCGTATCGGTCTGGTGGTAAATTATTTCACAGACAGGTCGTACGTGGAAAAAAACTCCTAGTGAAACGTACAGTAATGGACCGCCAAGCATCCAGATGGTGTGGATGGTATCGGGAGTTTTGCCGCGATGTGCGCTCGTGAAATTTGGCGGCTGGGATTAATCCGAACAATTCTTCAGAGCACTCCCGCGGTACATGCGAAAGAAAATGCAAAGGCATGCAACATCTCTTCGCGCCAGTGAATCGAGCCGATCGGTACGGACTCGGTCGTCGACGATTCGAGCCGCTCTGCGCTGGATGCGGTCAAGTCGAAGGAGCTGGCACTGGGGAGCACTAGCCCAGAGATGGGAACAGTATTCCATGTGAGCCGAACCTACCTTTACAGAACCTTGTAAAGTTGCAGGTGGTGTGCCGGCATGAAATACTGTCCCGCTCTGCTGAGCACGTCGCAACATATCATTGATCTGCAGAAGAAACAGCGTTGGTAATAGCAAGCAGCCTTGTGAAACACCAGCATTATTACGATTGTAGTCGGAGCATGCACCGTCTACAGCGACCTTGATGCTCCGATCTGCAAGAAAGCTGGTGATCCAGTTGCACAATTTCTCGGGAAGCCCATAGGAAGGGAGCTTAGAAAGAAGCACTTTGTGCCATACCCGACCGAAGGCCTTCGCAATGTCCAAACTAACGGCCAATGCCTCATCCTTGGACTCTACTGCCTCCGCCCATTTATGAGTCAGGTAGGCCAGAAGATCACCAGCTGATTGACCCCGACGAAAACCTTATTGGCGGTCACTAATCAATTGGTGATCCTCAAGGTACCGCATGAGCTGGCAGTTTATAATGGATTCCATTATTTTGGAGAACAAGGAGGTGATGACGATAGGCCTGTCTGTAGTTAGACGGGTCTGAGCGGTCGCCTTTTTTAGGGATTGGGTGGACAAGAGCCGTCTTCCATGTTTTCGAGACTACACCTAGGGAGTAGGAGTACTTGAAAAGACGCGTTAGAACCGGTGCCAACTCCGGAGCACACGTCCTCAGCACAATTGGGGGGATTCCGTCAGACCCACTCGACTTGTGGATGTCCAGGGAGAGCAGTGCTTTTGCGAACCGAGCGCTGTGTGGACCGCACATCCGGCATGGAGCATTCACACCGCGGGATGGTCGGCGGTGTTACCCCGGCATCGAGAATCGAGTTGGATGCAAAGAAAGAGTTTCGGCAGTACCGCTATGGGACCCGTAGACGCGCGGGATGGTCGTCGCTGTCTACGCGTAGCCAAAATATGGACAGGTCGGAACTTTCAAGACTGCCGATGCGTCGAGAACAGATGTGCTCTCTGACCTATACGCAAACTCCAGCCTGAGGTACAAAGGAGTGTTCCAATTTGTACCCCGGGTAGGAGAGATACGAAGTATCAGTCAGAGAGGACACCTGCGTCTCGGTCAGAATGAGCAAGGCCGGCTTCGCCATCTCGAGATGGTAGCGTCTAGGTTCGAGTGAAGTCCCCAGATGTTGCAGAAATTCACGGATAGCGTGGCAGGGGTCGCCTTGCTCTTGTTGCTCAGTTTGCCCCCAGCAGTTATTGTTTTGAGCAGCATTTTGCTAATTCCGTATTGATAATTTTGTTACCTTACTAATTTCGACAATGTATTTAAATACCAAGAGTTACAAATATAAATTATTTGCATGTTCGATAATTTTTTTACTCATTAACTTAAACATTGAATTATAAATAAAATAAACATTTTTACTACTATACCCTAAAGGCTATTGTTGGAGTAATTTATTTTCTAAAGGCGCGATTTATCTAAGGGAGGTAGGAATAAAGTCTAAATGTGGTCGTCTACTTTACTTTCAGTTTAAAATAGACCAAAATTTTCATGAGTTTATTCGATGGCAAACATTATGTGTATATTGTGAAGGTTAAAGTTTAATCCACAGTTAGCGGAGTTACTTATTAATAAAAATATTCATTGCTTAGGTGCGAAACGTGTGGCTCAGCGTTCAGCCAAGCTGCACATCTTAAGAACCATGCTAAAGTACACTCTGGAGAGAAGCCATTCAAATGTGACATTTGTACCGCCGCATTCGCTGACCGCTTCGCTCTCAAAAGGCATAGAGGCATCCATGATAAATATGGTAAGCATATTGCAATAGTATCTATCTGCAATGGACTGCTCTATCAGACTGATAACACGGCTTCGCTCGCATCATATTATTTGATTAAAAAAGCAAACCTCTTTCAATTATCATTTTAAAATATTGAGAATGTAAAGAAATATTTATAAAAAGTATTTGCTATAGTTATTTACTACAACTTTGTGATTTTTAAAGTATTTAGTAAAACTAAAGTTAATTTTCAATATATTGTTCACGTATTGTGTATAATGTAAGATGTATGATGTGTACAAACTTCGTCACAACCCCATATCATCTTGTGGGTGAAACAGTAAACATGCAGCGGAATCTTCCTGATAAAAACTCAAAACAATAAAAAACTGCACTTGCCAACTTGCCTACCAAGCATTATAACTATGGTAAATTTCCCCAAGAGGCAATCTACAGACAGGGAGACATATTCATGGATTTTGTATTGGCTGTAATGATGATTATTACATTGTTGAACAATTAATCATTTTAAAATAAATAATTTTACGGATTTTATCGTGTCTAATTTGACTTACTTTAATTCTCGATGTTTTGTGTGATTTACAACAAGGCCACGGCCACGGGGAGGGTACTGAGGCGTTTATCGTCCTGATGTCATAGTTAACTCGGGCTACCTAATAGCGGAAAAGGAACCAAATTTGAATGTCTTAGCAGAATGGCTGTATTGAAAGTGTGGCTCTCTTCAGCCCAAAATCTGAATGTTCTACTAAAAGACTAGGTAGTAAATGGCGAGTTAACCATTCCATAAACTTACTGAAGAATGCATTGGGCTGCAACATAATAGTAAATAGAATCATATTTTTTAAGTTAGTATTCAGGAATGAATGAATGAAAATACGATTAAACTTACTGCGGGCTACAACATAATATTTAATAAGATTGTATTTGAAATAATTAAAACTTGTATAAATGTTCATCTAAAAATTGTCTTTGTTTAACTTAAACATGCTATTAATATTATAATGTAGCAAATTATCAATTTTTATGATTTTACTTTTAAAGGACAAACAGCACCATTGCCTTCAAGAATTCAACAAAGTCAGCAAGAGCAGCAGCAGCAACAACAACAACAGCAACAACCTCAACCTCAAGGAAATCAACAGCAGACCAGTGAACAACAAACCACACAGCCTGCGGTTGAAATCGAAATCCGCCCAGAACAGACTCTTTGAGCCTAACACTACTTTTAATTTCTTTGAGACTTCCCACCCTGGAATATTATATCATAGCTAACTAGTACCATTCACATTCATTTGAATTTGGAGAATGTAAATATATTTTGTTAAGAGGTACTTGAAAGAAATGTTACTTAATTGTTACTAAACGTGCAAAGTAAAAAACAAGCATTAGCAGCTGCCACTGCCATTACATTTTAAGGTGTGAGTTGTTAAAAAATAAACAGATATTTGTTACTTGTTTATTATGTAAAATTCACATCACGACATAGTATTATATCATTTCTGGAAGAAATAATTTAGTATCCCATGAGAATATAATAAAATCATTATTGGCTGTGGAAGTGTGGAATTAGCATGATAGTTGTTATATCGATGCTGGTAAAATGAAACAGGATGGATAAGTGATGAAATTTTCGCTCACATTTGTAAATAAACGGAATCTGCGTGACAGTAAAGTCTAAATGTGATTTAGTATATTAGCATATCTTATGATTTATAACTAAGGTACTATATTTATAATGGATGGGTTGATGTTACTAAATATTGCTTTGTTTAATTTAGTTATGATGACTTTTACAATATAATATTTAAATGCCTGTTTAGGAAAAGTAGTATATTTAGTAAGAACAATTCATCCAAAAGCGAAGCTGCTGCATCAACATGATGCGATTTGTAAGGTAGGTGTAGAATTTTTAATTATGAAATTATATAATAGAAAAATGGTTATTTGTGTTTTATATTTTTCGACATTTTTATTGAACTTAATTTTACTGCTGATCCTAGCTTTCCAAATTAGGGAAATTTTATCTACTCATGTTAGGCAGAATGGTAATTACAGTACCAACCCACTCCTTAGATCACCTATACCGACCTTACTGTTTCCAGTATCGATATTTTAAATCTGCATGTATTAACGATTACTACATATTCGGTTGTAGACCACAGACCTTTTGTCATTTTTTTGACTTAGTTTAGTTTACAACGGGCTGATTTCCGCAACTCCACGTCTATGGGCGTATTTTGCGTGTGGGCAGGAATAATATGCTTATTCGAGCCATGAGATCTCCCCGAAGAAGCTCAACAGTCCTTTGATGTTGCATGCAACTTCGGGGAGTGATCTCGGCGTGCCGAGATGTTTAGCCCTGTACGTAGCGACCTCCGGACATTTCAATATCACATGGGCCGCCGTTTCTTCTTCCCCCATACATGCCCTGCACAGGGGACTATCTATAACACTTATAGTAAATAAATGCTTGTTAAAGTTGCCGTGTCCTGTGATAGCACTTGTTACAATCCTGATCTGCGGCTTGTTCAGTCTCATTAGAACTTTGGTTAAACGACTGTTTATTCAGGCAGGGCCTCCCTAGCTTGTCTACACTGCGGTCATAAGAAAAAAGGGCGCATCTAACAATTTTTGAATAAATGAGTTAAATATACCATTCGACTCATGATAAGAAGGCGCATCTACTAATTTTTTTTAATTATTAAATATCAATATTTTAGAAATTATCGTAAGAATTTTAGACGTAACTGTTGATCACAGATGACATTTTTTTTAGTAAAAAAGACATACAAATTCAACATAAAAGAAAAGACTTATTTAACCAGTTGCTACGTCATCTTTAACAATATTTGCATCGATTACTTAAATTTCAACTATTCTTTTCTTATTATTCTATATCTTATTATTAAGAGCTTATATCTTATTATTAAGAGCTGGTGTTTCACATGTGGTCCCATATATATTTGATCGAGGTCAGACCAATAGTTTTTGAGTTATCCTTAATTATTTATATTAAAGTCGGTTGTACAATATTTTAAATTTTTAATTATTATCGTAGTAAGTCTTGTATGATATCCCCTTTAAAATCATTACTCAAGAGTTGCGGGTTGTTATTTTTTGTGTCTTATACCAATGCTTTTCTAATATTTACTAAGAAAAAAGTAGTAAATTACTATTAGCGTCCTTTCAACTTCAAATGACCTTTCCAAAATATGTAAAAATGTTAAATGAATGGCAGTTTTTTTATTTATTAGATTGGGAAGACGCAAATAGTTATATGCGTCTTTCCTTCGATGTTTTTGTGTTACCAGGTGTATTTTTTAAGCTAAGATGAAAATGAAAATTCGTTTTATTTAAATAAATAAACAAATTATCAAAAAAATATGTTCGTCCTTAAAATCTTCATGTCTCTACGTATATATTTCAATTTTCATATAGATACCTTTTAATATACTTTAGACACAGGGTCTGAAAGAAAAATTCATCAATTTATTTTTTATTTCCATTTTACGTTTTTGTTAGTTGCGTCCTTCTTTATTATGACGGCAGTACAGTCTACTAGATTTTTCCAAAGCTGAGCGTGTAGATTAATGAGGTGTCTACGTACCAGTGAACAAACATTACCAAAGGGGATTGGTATGATTGGTTCCGGCCCTAGTGGCCAGAGCCGATCCTCTTCTGGCCAGTTTGTCTGCTGCGTCGTTGCCTCTGGATCCACTGTGTCCCTTTATCCATTGCAGAGTCACATTGTTGTTTTTACATACCTCATTTAATCGTTGATGGCATTCATATGTTAGTCCCGAGTTCACCACATTGCAACTCAGAGCTTATCTACAATTACCGTACCGCCCTACTGTCGATCAGTATTCTGATGGGGAAGTCATTAACCTTCCTAGCATCTATTGCTATGGCCGCTTGAATGATACCCATACATTCCGCCTGAAAGACTGTGTTATAGGTACCCAGCGGTGTGCATATGTAGATATTGAGGTCTTCAAAGAAAGTTCCAGAACCTACACCTTCATTTGTTTTAGAACCATTTGGTGAAAACTAAGCTCTTTTGGGCTTAATCCTTCCGGCTGGCTGGTTTCATTTAATTGTATCTTATACTTCTTATCGAATACAAATTGTTTAGGAATCTTATCGTACTTGGCTTGTAAGATAGGAATTTTTGAATGAATTCTATCAATTATGCCTGTATGAGGGACTCTATTCTTACTCCAAAGATTTAGGGTCTTGAGTCTGATGGCAGCTAAAGTTGTTTCTTGTTGTATATGTAGATGAAGCAGGGTTAGCTCTAGCATCGCTTCTAAGGCTGCTGTTGGCGTAGTCTTTATGCAGCCTGTAGCAGCCATACATGCCAGTCTCTGGTAGCGCTAAAACTTCTTTATAGTGGTGGCTTCATTTGTCTTGGTCCACCATACCAAAGCGCCGTATGTGATCATGGGCCGAATTACAGTTTTTTACAGTCAGTATAATTTTTGGTGTCAATCCCCATCTTTTGCCAATCATGTTTCTGCATTGCCAGAAAGTTATACTAGCTTTGTTGATTTTCTTATCTGTGTTTATTCCAGTTAACTTTGCTGTCCAAGGTAAGACCTAAATATTTTACCTCAGAGGATAACTGGAGTTTTGTGCTGAAAAGACTTGGGAGATGATAGTTATTCAGCATTCGTTTTTGTGTTAAACATTACTAGAACCGTTTTATTTGGATTAACGGTTAAGTCGTATTCCCTGCACCATCTCTCCACTATACAGAGAGCCGCTTGGGTCAGGTCGCACACTATGCTTGCTGTCTTTCCAGCGACCAGTATTGTTAGCTCATCAGCATAACCTACTGAATAGAAGTGATCGGCATTTAATTTGCTGATGAGTTCAATAATGACCATATTCCACAGGAGAGGGGAGAGAACCCCACCCTGCAGGCAGCCTTTCTTAATTTGGATCGGTTGAGATTCACCAGCAATCTTTATTATTCGTGTACTGAGCATTTTTACTATCCAGTCAATCAGTGCCGGTTAAACTTTATGTCTACTGAGTGCACATTTTATGCTGGAGAAGTTCGTCCTATCAAAAGCAACATCTATATCAATGAAGGAACCTAGGCATATTTCTTTGTTTTGGATGGCCTCTTCAATCTTTGTTATTACCTGGTGAAGTGCCGATTCTGTTGATTTGCCTAGACTGTAGGCGTGTTGCTTGTCGTGTTGTGGTAAGTTCATTAGCGCCGACCCCCTTAATTCCCTTTCAGACATCCTCTCCATTGTGTTTAGGAGAAAGGATGTGAGGCTAATGGGCCTGTACGATTTTTTTTGACTCTTACATCTATTAGACTGATGTACCTCATGATCGTCCAGATCCTAATTTATCATTTGGAAGTCCCCGGCACTACTATTATTAGAAATATCTACCAAAAATTTAGCATCATCAACTTTAATTGTATGTTACTAAAATATATGCACATATATTAACATCACAAAAAATAATGATGTCCAAACAATATATACTTCAATGCATGGAATTAATTCATTTATTATTTTACAATAATAATTATTTGTTGTTGCATATAGGTTTAGTGCATCTTTGATATATACTATAGGAAGAGCTAATAATTAGTAGGGGTGTCCTTCCACATTAACAGTCCAGTGTAGTGTCAACAGCAAGGAATATACTTTATAACAAGATCAACTGCTAGGAAGGTATACTTTAACTGTTGCACATCTATAAACCAACATTTAGGGTAAACTTCAAATATAACTTATAGACCATTGACCAGGATTATGTATTTATGGTGTCAAAAAATTATTTTTTGCGATTTTGATTTGTCACATTCTTCATTCTTTTGTAGACTGTAGTGGCAGTGTAGGAATATCCACTACCCCATATATCATCCCGTGGGTGTCGTAAGAGGCGACAGAGGGAAAGAAATTAGGAGATGGGCTGCAACGCAAGGGCGATTTGTGAGGCTATTGAAATTAAAAACATCCATATTTCAATAGAGAAGATGGCTGTGAGCTATCGTCTGCTTGGGATCCTATAATTAATAAAATTAAATCCAAACCCAAGCATGGACCGAAATATATAACCAAAAGCTGAAGGTATCCTTGGCAAACTATGACATTGGGATGTCAAGCATTTCTCGGTGATGAACACCATGACCATGGGTGCTATGAAGTACCAAGTTATGTGACATCTTTGTCAATTGTGAACCAATTTCATACATTCTCAGGGGTGTTCCCCGATGAATTTGAAGTAAAATTTGATTTTGACACATCCTTGGGGGTGAAAAAATTGGGATTAAGTTTTGAATGTAATTTTTTTTTATTTATATGACACCCCATTACCATTACAGCTTATCAAAAGTCAGCTGAATTTAAGCATCACTCATAGGTTGCCTAAGGGGTATATGGGGATGGCAACTATATGCCATAGTTGCCATCCCCATATCCCCCATATTTGTCACACTTGGCAACAACCACAGTTAATTTTTTGTTATTTTTAGGAAGATGCTGTTGTCCATCTCCTACATAGGTAGGTAGTTTCACTTTGTTGCCTCAGACACCCATAGTACAATTCGGTAGTGAATATTCTTACACCACCACTACATGGTCTAATCACAAGCTATGATATCAGATATTATTCAAGGTTGTGATAGTCAATAAAAGTTTAATATTTTGACCCCTTTTACTGGAAATGAGGCATTCCATGTATCCTCAGGGGTAACAAATCTTAACCAAGGATCACTTAGTTATTCATGTTAATTTGTCACCCTTATTCTATAAAAAAATATAAAATTTTGACCATTCCAACTTCATACAACTAAAAAGAATAAAATGATTTCTACATAGTATTACACTTAGGGGTTAGGGGGCTTCAATTCTGTAATACTCTTTGTCTTCGAAACAATTTCTAAAGGTATTATGTGGAAACTGTTTAATTCTTTTTATGGAGACAGATTTTACCTTTACGAAAAAAAGTTAATAAACAATAAAATCAAGACAAGAGTTAATTAATTTTATTCTTTATCACAATAGAAATGAACAATTACAAGCATAAAATATATTTTACATTAATATAAAATAATTTACTCATAAACCCAGTTCTCGGCTGCCGGTGTCCATCCGACGAGTTCTTTTTCAGTAAACCATAAAGCGATTTCTTTGTTAGCTGCTTCAACTGAGTCGGAGCCGTGAATAATATTGCGACCAACTTGGATGCAGAGATCACCACGAATAGTGCCAGGCTGAGAATCTGCCGGGTTAGTTGCACCCAACATTTGACGACCAGTTTTTACCACGTTAAGTCCTTCCCATACCATTGGTACTACTGGACCAGAACTCATGTACTTTACAAGTCCAGGGAAGAAAGGTCTAGAAGACAGGTCACTGTAATGCTTCTGTAGAAGTTCTTCAGATGGCCACATAAATTTAAGAGCCACTAACTTGAAACCTTTTTTCTCAAATCGTTCAATTATTGTACCAACTAGGCCACGTTGCACACCATCAGGTTTGATCATAATAAAGGTTCTTTCACGTGGTTCAGCCATAATGTTAACTTAATTAGATTGAAGGTTATGCAAACGGCAAACGAGAACGACTAAAAATGAATGATCCTGCAATACCGTTACGGCGTGCCGGCGTGTCACCGTCGAAGATCAGAGACAAAGAAGGAAAAGGAAACAGTGCTGCCACTATGCAGAAATATTTATCACTAGCTATGGTCTCAAATTTCCCCAGATTTTGGGATATTTTTAATTAAAAAAAAACCCTAGAATTTATGAAAATGTTTAATATGAAATTACAAGGTAGGTAATAAAAATACTATTTTAATTATGAAAATAATTCCAATAATCAGTAGATTTACCATCTAAGGCTGCATCACCACTTACCACCAGGTGGTGTTGTTGGTCAAGCACTGGCTTATAAAAAAGTAAAAAAAAAAAAAACCAACAACATATAAAATCGAAACAACATCCTAGTTACAGTTTCTTCAACGGACAGCCAACGAGTACCACAAGAGCGTAATATTTTTAAAGGATTCTCACCACAATTTATTGTCTCATATGTATCTTTGTACTCATCACAGTGTTTGGGTTAATGTGAGAACGAATTATCTGTTTATTTAATGAGAAACTATATTTCGTGGTAACGTTTGCTCTGACGCATGTGAAACAGCTAATTGCAATGAGTGATGTGGGATAACATCTGACTTGAATTTAATTAGGAATGCCATTATTGATTACAGTCATGACAGAGCCATTATCCATCCCGATTCCAACTAAATTTCTTATTAGAACACCATCTTACCTTTCAGTATTAGGAGAAAACACACACCTTCAATAAAATGAAATTGAATAAAGTTTGTATGCACTCGGAAAAACAGATGTTGGGAAGGCATTCCACTCCTTGGCTGTGCGCATTATGAAAGACGACTTACAGCACTTAGTGCGAATATTCGAAATATTAACCAAGTGTGGATGGTAATTTGCAGTACATCTGGTATTCAGACAGGAGAATGGATATGGCGGTATGAACTTATGAAGCTCATGGCACACTTTCAATTCAGTATTCAGTACTCACTGAAACGAACATTACATAAGTGTTAGGTTCCCATTATTACTCGTGAAATCCCCAAAGTAAGTTAAGCATAACAAAAACAAAGAGGTCTACTTACGTTTTTGTAAAGTGAGAAAAGGATAGTGCTATGTTGATATAAACTGGGGAATTTACTGACAGGTAAAGAGGATTGCCAATATGTATTTTCTAAATTCTTCAAGATTTCATAAATATCCACAAAAATCATCAAATAATTTTTCGAGTGATTTTTTTTTAGAATACCCTATTTATCTCCAAAAATTCACTAAATCTTGTGACAAAATCACTAAGGTGGCAACACTGAAAGGAAATAAAATTAGTGGCATGGCCTAAAGGTCTAGATGCCAGGCCATAAACTCCAAAAAAAAAATTAGTGGCAGCCAGGCCCGTGACAGCTTAGTTCCATTCTATGCAACTTGGCGCTACCGTCGCAATTTGTTCTCTGGCTACGGACGCCATATTGTGCAAATCGATTGTCCTTACAATCGGCCACAATCGAATATGATTTTTGTGATAGATTACATAAAATAATGGACATATTTTTTTATATAATCGATAGCAGTAAAGTTTTTGAACGCTAGTTTTATGTTCAATGTTTAAGGTGGCAGCTCCAGGGTGGCCCGCGAAATTCAAATTTTCTTGCGTTTTTTGGAATTTGCAGGTCAGGGTCAGGTTAAATGTTTAATAAAATATGAATTTCGCGGGCTACCCTGGCGCTTCCACCTTAAGTAAAATTGCATCTATAGTTGAAAGTTGCAATATCGAAACCGTATATATTTTGGGAAATTTTAACGCTCACCCCGGGGAATTGTTTGGCAATGAACTTCTAGACTTCTGTAGTGAACAAAACTGGACATGTGTGGATATTTAAATGTTAGGTATAAATTCCATAGTCATAGATGGCTTGATCACTGTTGTTACTGAGGCTGCACTAAGCAAGGTGCTATCGGTAAAAGTATATTATGGTGTTTACAGTTTACTGGTCTGATCACTACCCGCTAGAAATTCAGTGCAACATAAAATCAGTTGGTCAGACTATTGAGCTGCCGCGCGCTTAAATAAATAAGGTTCTATTGGGAGAAAAAGACCTAAGCCAAATAGATATGTTTACTAAATATTGTAATGAATATGCGCAAAAATTTCACAGTTTATGCGAAAGGTTGGCTTTCCACATGAGTTCGATCAGTGTGGCGACTGTTTGTGTAGTAATAGTGACGCGGCACACTTGGCCGCGATAGACTCGTTTTTTTTTATATTGTAAGAGCGTTGCAGGAGGCTGCTGTGGCCATCTATGTTGGTCGCTCGGGAGGTGGCAAACCACATCGCTGTTGTCCTATTCTAAGGTTGGAACAAGTATATGTCCGTGACGCTCATATGAACGCTGGGCAAAAGTATCTAACCTGGGTATGTTATGGTCGGCCAAATAGTGGTACCATTTATAATGAAATGTATGATTCGAGAAAATTTTTCAAAAGCAAATTAAACTATTGTTAGAATTATCAGGAAAAAATAAAAATAATAATATTTTAGCTACAAAACACAGGAATAAAGATTTAAGGGGTTTTTGGCAGCAAACAAAAAAACTAAGGCCAAAGCCTAGCATCCCAGTGAGTGTAGAAATAAAACTAGTGATATTTCCGACAAGTGCAACTACCGCCCAATATCATTAGCTACAACCACATCTAAGGTGCTTGACGGCCAGCTTGAGAGACAACTTAAAGAGCATCTCCACCTACATGACGCTCAGTTCAGCTTCAGACCAGGACTTTCGACTGAATGCGCAATTATGTCTCTCAAGCACACTGTTAGATACTACACGGATAGGGACAAGCCTGTGTATACAGCCTTTCTTGATCTCACTAAGGCATTTGACCTGTTAGATATGATATTCTTTAGCGTTAATTAAAAGACAAATGTATGCCGGGTGGGTTGATCAATATTTTTAAATATTGGTATGAACACCAAACAAACCAGGTCAGATGGCTTGGTGAGCTTTCTGATGAGTACGGGTTGGAGTATGGAGGCAGGGGGAGGGGGGGGGGGGGCTAAGTTCTCCTTCTCTCTTCAACTTGTATGTAAATAGGTTGATTGTTGAGCTGAGCGACACAGGGGTCGGCTGCTCGATTGATGGTCACTGCATCAACAGTATCAATTATGCAGATAACATGGTGTTGCTCAACCCATCAATCGCCGGTCTCAAAAAACGAATATGTGTATGTGAGAAGTACGCTTTGTCACGAGGTCTCTTGTACAATGTTAAAAAGAGCGAGCTCTTGATCTTTCAAGCTAGGGGTCGTAAGCTGGGAGATGTGACGCGTGTGCTGCTAAATGGCGTCGCTCTAGGCAGGGTGAATGAGTTTAAATATCTCGGCCATGTGGTTACCGACGATTTAAAATATGATGCTGACATCGAAAGGGAAAAAAGGGCGATGGCGGTCCGCTGTAATATGTTGGCACGCAGATTCGCGCGGTGTAGCTTTGGAGTAAAGATAACTATCTTTAAAGCCTTTTGCCAAATTCTATTATACACTTGCATTTTGTGGGTCAACTACACGCAGCAGGCCATCAACACTCTCCGAGTACAATATAATAACGCATTCAGGGTGCTGGTGGCGCTCTCGCACTGCTGTAGTGCGTCTGCGATGTTTGCGCACGTGCACACGGACAGCTTCCACGCTGTGTTGCGGCGCCGCATCGCCTCGCTGATGCCCCGTACGCGGGGGAGCGCCAACACCATCCTGAACGTGCTCAGCGACAAGCTTGACTGCCTACTTCTGCGGCACTGGGTACAAATGCATGTGCCCGGTGCCCCAGAGTGTGGCAGATACATGAATTAAATTGTAGATTAATATTATTCAAGTATTTAATATTAAGTAGTTTTTTTGTGTTAAACAATAGAACTAAGTTATATTGAATTGAATGTGTAGTGGCGGTTAAGAATATCCACTACCCCATATCTTCCCGTGCGTGTCGTAAAAGGCGACAAAGGGAAACAGGCAGGAGATGGGCAGCAGCATCTTCATGATAACAGCAAAAATACAATAAAAAACCTGCGGTTGCCAACCCGCTCGCCAAGCGTAGCAACTATGGCAAATACCCCCCTATGAATGAATGTAACAAAGAGACGGCCCCAGTGCCCGGTGGCCCCGCTATTCCTGGCTACGGTGGCGACCATGGTAACGGCGGGGCAGGGGGTGCTAAGAATCTCCGGTGGAGGTTCATTTGCCACCTACGACTACTCGACCTGGCAACATACAATGCACGCACCCTGAGGACTGACGAGAAGATTGTGGAGCTGGAAGAAGAGATAGACAAGTTACGCTGGCATATTATAAGATTATCCGAAGTCCGAAGAGAGGGGGAGGAAACGGTAATCCTCGAATCCGGCAACTTGTTCTATTACCGGGAGGGCGACCATCTGTCCCAAGGAGGTGTCGGATTTATCGTCCACAAGTCTCTCGTTAATAAAGTTGTAAAGATTGAGAGTGTGTCGACGAGGGTTGCGTACCTTATACTCAGAATCACCAAACGGTATTCGCTGAAGGTCATACAGGTTTACGCACCAACCTCTGGCACCCCCATGAGGAGGTGGAGGAAATGTATGAGGATATCTCTAGAGCCATGCATTCCTCCAAAACCCAATATACGGTGTTAATGGGAGACATCAATGCAAAACTAGGACAAAAGAGAGAACGGTGAGCTGAAATTAGGGAAATTTGGAATAGGGCAATGGAACCCAAGGGGCCAGCAGATGGCCGACTTCATGGAGAAAGAGGGACTCTTTATGATGAACTCTGTCTTCCAGAAGCGGCCCCACAGGAAGTGGACCTGGTCGAGCCCCGACGGTTCGACAAAAAATGAAATTGACTTCATTATGACGACCAGACGACAACTATTCAGTGATGTCTCAGTGATCGCGAGGGTGAAAACCGGCAGCGATCACTGAATGGTTAGAGGCACACTGAACCTAAACGTTAAGCTGGAGAGGTCTTGTCTAATGAAGTCAATCTCATGCTCTAATCCAAAGTCCCGAAACCTTTCAGCTCGAGTTACTAAACCGTTTTCAGTGCCTAGAAGACTGCAATGAAGTGGACGATATGAATGACAAGCTCGTGGAAACTGTCCATGCGGTCGGAGCTAAGTTCTGCAAGACCCGCCGCAGAAGAACACAAAAACTCTCCGATCACACTCTTAATCTCATGGTTGTTAGACGGGAGATGAAGCTACATTCTTCAACAGATTTGACAGCATACAGGCAACTGAACAGACAGATCTCCAAATGCATACGGCGAGACTTACGCAACTTCAATACAGCTCGTATTGGAGAAGCGATCGAGCGGAACCAAGGCTCCAAAGTCTTTGCCAGAGATCTGTCTGCCAGAAAGAGCCAACTATCAAAGCTGAAGACAGAATGTGGCAGCATCGTTTCCGGGGCACCTGAGATTTTGAGTGAGATTGAGAGGTTCTATGGGCAGCTGTACACGTCATCGTTGGAGCCACACGCAAGTGTGAGTAACGATCCAAGAGCGAATCTTATCCGACACTATTCCGATGATATCCCGGACGTCAGTCTGAGCGAGATTAGAATGGCTCTCCAGCACCTTAAAATCGGCAAGGTCCCAGGCAAGGATGGAATTACAGTGGAGCTTCTGAAAGTGGGTGGAAAACCGGTACTTGATTTCCTTCAGAAGCTCTTTAATTCCGTCCTCCATGGTGGCATTACATCGGAGGCGTGGAGCAGAAGTATGGTGGTCTTGTTCTTCACAAAAGGTGACTACGCTCTCTTGAAGAACTACAGACCGATTTCCCTTATAAGCCGCGTCTACGTGCTGTTTTCGAAAGTCATTACGAATCGTCTCGCGCGCAGACTTGACGACTTCCAGCCTCCCGAACAAGCCGGTTTCCGAAAAGGCTTTAGCACCATAGACCACATACATACCCTTCGGCAAATTGTACAGAAGTTCGAGGAGTACAATTTGCCACTACGTCTGGCGTATGTGGACTATGAGAAAGCCTTTGATTCCGTCAAAATTTGGGCGGTACTGCAGTTCCTTCAGCGGTGCCAAGTTGACTGTCGGTATATCGAAGTGCTGAAGTGCTTGTACAGTAGGGCTACGATGGCTATCCGAGTACAGAACCAGAGTACAAAACCTATCCAATTGCAGAGAGGTGTAAGACAGGATGACGATATATCCCCGAAACTCTTCACCGCTGCACTGGAAGCGTTTTCAAGCTTCTGAACTGGAAAGGATACGGTATTAACATCAATGGGGAGTACATCACTCATCTTCAATTTGCCGACGATATAGTCCTTATGGCAGAATCGCTGAAGGACTTAAGCACTATGCTCAATGACCTCAATAGTGTCTCCCAACAGATAGGTCTTAAGATGAATATGGACAAAACAAAGATCATGTTTAATGTCCATGTCACACCTATGCCGGTAGTTGCTGTGAGCAATTAGCTCGAAGTCGTTGACGAGTATGTTTACCTGGGACAAATAGTCCGACTAGGTAAGTCCAACTTCGACCGAGAGGTCAATCGACGGATTCAACTCGGTTGGGCAGCGTTCGAGAAATTACGGCACATCTTTTCGTCAGGCATACCTCAAAACTTGAAAACGAGACTGTACAACCAGTGCGTGTTGCCAGTGATGACATACGGAACTGAGACGTGGTCCTTCACTGCTGGCCGGATGAGGAAGCTCAAGGTCGCTCAGCGAGCTATGGAGAGGGCAGTACTCGGAGTTTCTCTGCGTGATAAACTCAGAAATGAGGATATCCGCAGTAGAACCAGAGTGACCGACATAGCCCAACGGATTAGTAAGCTGAAGTGGCAATGGGCCGGCCATATAGCTCGAAGAACCGACAACCGATGGGGAAAAAAGGTTATCGAGTGGCAGCCTCGTACCGGTAGGCGAAGTGTTGGGCATCTCCCCACTAGATGGAGTGACGACCTAGTGAGATATGCAGAAAGTCGATGGATGCAGGTGGCTCAGGACCGTGCTTTGTGGCATTACTTGGGGGAGGCCTATGTTCAGCAGTGGACTTGTCATCATCATCATCATCATCATTACAGCCCTTCACAAGTCCACTGCTTCCGGGTTCCGTTGCCTTATTCCAAGTTTCCCTACTTTCAGCTCACCATTCTCTCTTGTGCCTAGTTTTGCATTGAAGTCTCCCATTATCACCGTATATTGGGTTTTGGAGGAATGCATGGCTCTAGAGAAATCCTCATACATTTCCTCCACCTCCTCATCGGGGTGTGCCGAGGTTGGTGCGTAAACCTGTATAACCTTCAGCGAATACCGTTTGGTGATTCTGAGTATAAGGTACGCAATCCTCGTCGACACACTCTCAATCTTTACAACGTTGTTAACGAGAGACTTGTGGACGATAAATCCGACACCTCCTTGGGACAGATAACTGTAACAGTGGTAGAGCCACGCGGCAGCTTTTGCTGTCGCACGGATGGGCCGGCTCGAACCGGGGTAGTACCACGACCTCACAGAAAACCAGCGTGAACTAGAGGTTTACCTCTGCGTTTCGTTCGGTGAGTACAGGTGGCCGGAGGCCCTTTTTACTGGAAATGAGGCATTCCATCTTAGTCCTCACGGGTGACAACGCATCTACATTTTGATTTGTAACAGAGGATAGATGTAGATGTCTATGGGCCGCAGCAACCACTTACCATCAGGTGGACTGTGTGCTCGTTTGTCACCCTTATCATATAAAAAAAAAAAACTAATATGCCAGCGTAACTTGTCTATCTCTTCTTCCAGCTCCACAATCTTCTCGTCAGTCCTCAGGGTGCGTGCGTTGTATGTTGCCAGGTCGAGTCGTCGTAGGCGGCAACCGAACCTCCACCGGAGATTCTTAGCACCCCCTGCCCCGCCGTTACCATGATCGCCACCGTTGCCAGGAATAGCGGGGCCGCCGGAGACTGGGGGCCGTTTCTTAGTAACTTTATCCATTTGGGGGGTATTAGACAGTCGCCACGCTTGGCGAGCGGGTTGGCAACCGCACTTTTTTTGTTGTATTTTGCTGTTATCAGGAAGATGCTGCTGCCCATCTCCTGCCTGTTTCCCTTTGTCGCCTTTTACGACACCCACGGGAAGATATGGGGTAGTGAATATTCTTAACCGTCACTACACGGCAACGACTTGTGAAGGGCTGTCATGATGATGATGATGATGATGAATTGAATTAAATTGAATAAGATTAAATTAAATTAAAAAGATTAGATTGAATTGATTTGAATTATATGAAAGTAAATTATAATAATAATAAAGCCATTTATTCCGATCTAATAACATTTAACATAATAACTAAAAATAAAATAATCTACTAACTACAAAATGTCTCTTAGTTCGGCGTGCCTATTGGCAAAGGCCTCCTCCAACGATTTCCATTGTTGGCTATCTTGAGCAACCCTTCTCCAGTTTGGTCCTGTACTATAAGTTTTATTTCATCTTCCCACCTTGTGTGCTGCCTTCCTTGTCTTCTTTTGCTGGCCATAGAAGCAAGGGAGAGATGGCCAGTTTGTTAATCTACATTTTAACCACTTTTTTCCTTTAAGTTTTTGAGCCTTAGCTCATTCTTTTTTTCTGTCCACATGATGAACACTTATCATCGAATTCGGTGCAATTTTCACGTACCCACAGTTGGCATATAACGCATTGAATCCAATCTTCGATGAGTTGTGTTTCGTAATAATTTTCTCCACAACCTACACAGTTATCCAATTCTCTGTTTCCATCTTCTTTATCAGACGAATTACATAATATTAGTTCTTCATCCTCATCACTACTTTCAGATAACTTTCTTAATGATTTTCTTTTTCTTGGTGCTCGTTTTATTGGTTTTATCTCAATTTTTCTTTCCTTTTTAACGTCTTTTTCGAAATTTTTTTGTTCCCTATTTTTTTAAGCGTTTCCTTAAATTTTCTTGTTTTGATGTGATTCTCTGAGGTTAAAAGCATGCCTACCTGTTTAGCACGTTTGCGTACTTCAATATTTTTTTGTGGAACTGGCGATATTTGCTTTAAAATACGTGTTGGAGTCAGATCTGGCAAATCGCTTCTTGTTCTGACATTTTTTTAATTACTGCTGCTGAAGCAGTAGCAAATAATTTTTTAGGCCTTCTTGTAATCATCTCAGGACTTGCGGTTAAAACTATTCGCTCAACAGAGCTATTTGGCTCAGCGATTGCAGGTGATATGTCTTGTCGCACTTCGAAAGTATTTGGAACTGGTTCCAGATTAGCAGAAGCTATGTTACTAGTATTTTCTTCTTGCTCCTCGACCATAACAGTGGCTGTACACTCATTTTGAGATTTAGACATTTGCTTTGTCAATTCTTGGGTAAACGCGTAGTCGGGAATTGCAGATGGATTGAAGGGGTGGACACCTGTAGCTTTAAAACCCGCAATTGCATTCTCTGCAGAAGCTGCCTTTCCCCACGCCTTATTAAGCAATCTTCCAAATGATAATCATGTTATACGACGACCAGGATTTTGTTTTAGCCAAAGTCGACACTGCTCGTAAAAATAAGTCTTCAGTGATTTAAACACCGTACGATCTAGTGGTTGGAGGTAGTGAGACGTGTGGCTTGGCATTGAAAGTAAGTTGATGTTATTGTCATTTGCATATTCCAGCATTTCCACAGAATTACAGTGAGATGAATGACCATCTAGTAAAAGAAGTACTCTTCCAGCTGGTTTCCTCGGAACAAAATGTGTTTTCAACCATTCAATAAATAAATCTGAGGTAATGTACGCTGATTTTGGGGACATGAAAAGTTTTGATCCCGGTGGCATCCCATCCTCAAAATCAGGTTTTTGTTTTTGCCTTTCATGATACAGGCAGGTGGTAAAAATGTACCTTCAGCATTGCAGCAGGCTATAACTGTAATCGTTTCTCCCTTTTCAGTCGAAGTAACTGTAGATACAGCCTTAGAACCCTTTTCAGCTAGAACATGCCCTGGTCGATTATTAAGCTGAAGACCAGTCTCGTCCATGTTGAAGATACAACTCGGTTTCAACACACCATCGTCTACTGTCAATATGCTTTCAAGAAGCTCAAAGTAAGCGTCAACCTCTAGTTTATTCATAGCAGTTGATCTAGCTAAAGATACTCCTTCTGACTTTCTTAATGTAATATCGTGGTTTCTTCGTAAAAAACCTTGCAACCAGTCCTGCTTTCCTTATATATCCTTGATATATCCTGCTTTTTCAGTTTCTCTATTAAATCTGTGATTCAAATTTAATTGCTCCGCGAACTGGTACGCAATCTTTCTGACGTCATCAATAGTCAATGGGAAACCATTTTTTTGTATAGTTTTAATATGGTTAGCGAGTTTCTTCTCATTTTGTCGCCGAATATAGAGGATGGTTCCATTGGTCCTTTTTTGTCATTATTTTTCTTGTATCGCCTTTCGAGGGTCTTCCTTGGTACTTGATAGGTTATTGAAGCTGCGTAGATAGTCATTTCACCTTTTTTAACAGCGTCCATGGCCGCCTTAAGTGACTCTTCACTCCAGTTCCCTCGTGAGCTGCATGCTTTTCTTTGGTATTTATATGGCATCTAAAAATAAAATATTGTGATATGAAATACTAAAACCATATAAGCATAATAGCACCATAAATAAAGAAAAATATATCAAGTTATAATAATATAACTTTCACCATTACGCATTACATATATGGTAGGTGTGAGATGGCCTTATGGTCATCTCATACCGATTATGTACGGCCATCTCTCCTAATCAGCCGGGATAGATGGCCACACATTATTTGTAGAAAAATATAAACAACCCACGCGCCATTTTGAGGTTATGTTAAAGTGTGGGTCATTAACTGAGCACTTAACTTAAAAAAAGCACTTACTTTTTATGATGTCTTTTCACCACACTGTATAACGTAAACCCTTTGAAATCTTTAGGCTATATACAAATAAATGTAGGTACATTTTACTTACTTTTTCGATTTTTTTTCACCGGAGATGGAGCGAAATGTTGTTCCCACGCACAGCACAAATTGAACTAACGAGAAAGTAGTGCCATCTAGTAAGTGTAACTATGATTTTTTTTAGTGGCCATCTCTTCCTTACGGCCAACTCCCCCGGACTTAACCTATACCATTCTCTTACTCTCCTGCTCCTCTTTCCCACTTTGTCACGCATCATATGTCCTGACCATCTCCACTTCTGCAATGAAATGAAATTAGATGAGATTAAATATATTATAATATTTTTTTTCTTATGTCACTTGTATGTGGATTTTGTCTGAAATAAATTGATTTTATTATTTTTTTTATTTCCTTCCAGGTCCTTCAAAAGTGGCATTGTCAAGGCAAAGTCAGAGCACATCGGCAGAATTGGCGAGAAACTAATTCGTCTTCATTCAGGAACACGTGCATTCTGGTCTCTCAGCAATGGTGTCCAAGGGAACTTCTGTCAGTCATCTCACCCATCTCTGCACAGGGAGAACGACTCACTGGCCCATGCCGCAAAGGACAAAGCCGATCTGCTGAGCTCTCTCTTTGCGTCCAACTCGACTTTTGATGACGGGGGGCACTCACACTGACGACCATCCCGCGGTGTAAGTGCTCCATGCAGGATGTGCTGTTTACCCAACGCTCGGTGTGCAGAGCACTCCTCTTACTGGACGTCAACAAGTTGAGTAGGCCTGATAGTGTCCCTCCTATTGTGCTGAAGACGTGTGCTCTAGAGTTGGAACCGGTTTTAACGCGTCTTTTCTGGTACTCCTACTCCCTAAGCGTAGTCCCGAAATCATGGAAGACAGGTTTCGTGCACCCGATCCTTAAAAAAGGTAACCGCTCTGATCCATCCAACTATAGGCCTATCGCCATCACCTCCTTGTTCTCTAAAATAATGGAGTCAATTATTAATAGCCAGCTCATGCGTTACCTTGAGGATTACCAGCTGATTAGTGAACGTCAGTATGGTTTCCGTCGTGGTCGCCCGGCTGGTGATATTCTGGGTTACCTAATTCATAAATGGGCGGAAGTATTCCAATCCAAGGGGGAGGCGTTGGCCGTTAGTTTGGAGATAGCGAAAGCCTTCGATCGGGTTTGGCACAAAGCGCTTCTTACGAATCTTCCTTCCCATGGGCTTCCCGAGAAATTGTGCATTTGGATCACCAGTTTTCTTGCAGATCGGAGCATCAAGGTCGTAGTAGATGGTACATGCTCCGATTACAAACCCATTAACGCTGGTGTTCCACAAGGCTGCGTGCTATCGCCAACCCTGTTTCTACTGCATTTCAATGACATGTTGCAAACCGGTGACTTTCATTGCTATGCAGCTGACAGCACTGGTGATGCTTTATACACCCTCCGTTCCAATATTTCTCGAGACAACGTCGCCGAGTACCAGGACAAGCTTGTGTCTGAAGTCGAGACTTTGTTGAAAAAAGTCTGGGGGACTGGGGGCGACTAAATCTAGTCTAGTTCAATCCCCAGAAGACACAAGTGTGCGCGTTTACCGCTAAAAAGAACCCAGTTTCAAGGCACTCACCTTGTTGCCTCAGCCAGTATCGGAATCCTCGGCATCGACAGTGACGTGCAGTTTCGTGGTCACTTGGAAGAGAAGGCCGGCTTGGCGTGCTCAGCAGAGCGGAACAGTATTTCATGCCGGCACACCGCCTGCAATTTTACAAGGTGCAGGTTCGGCCGCACATGGAATATGGTTCCCATCTCTGGGCTGGGGCTCCCCAGTGCCAGCTCCTTCTATTTGATCGCATCCAGCGCAGAGCTGTTCGAATCGTCGGCTACCTAAATCTTTCGGCTTGACTCACTGGCACTGCGAAGAGAGTTTGCATATTTTAGTGCATTTACCACGGCGAGTGCTCTGAGGAGTTATTCAGACTAATTTCAGCAGCACAATTTCACCATTGCACATCGCGACAAAACTCGCGATACCATCCATACCATCTGTATGACTGGCGGTCCACCACTTTAAAAGAACTTTTCTTCCTCGCACAATTTCCTTGTGGACTTAGGTACCTTCAAGAAAAGCCTTTTAAAAGGCCAGCAATACATCTGCAATACATATTTTAGTTTAGAAATCAGAGGTTCTCATATAATCTTAGATGTAATATTTAAACATGTATAAAGTTAAAGTAAAGTTGCAGCCTATTTACGTCGAAACAAAATTACAAGCGTCAAAATAAAAGTTAATATATATATATATATATAAACTTTTATTTACATCTTATTAATTAATTACCCAGTAGGAAGTTATTTTCATCTTCTTCATCGTTCCAGTCATTCAGAAGTCCTAATACGGTCTTGAGCCGCCTACAACCATCGATTTCCTGCAATTCTTACCAGGTTTCCACCTATTGGTGGCCGTCCTACACAATGCTTATTTCTACAAGGTTGCCTCGCGACAACCTTTCTTCCACATGGGTTGTGGGTTCTTCAACATATCCGATTCATTGCCACTTAAGCTTTCTGTTCCGTTAGGCTACTTGATACACTAAAAACATAGAAGTAAAAGGTTATTGCGACTTTTTAATTAGTTCAATCAACCTGAAAATTCTTAAACATTAAATGAAATCAGTTATTTAGACTTGGAATGAACATTGTATTCGAAATCACTGGGCAAAACCGATCAATTCTTATCGCAATTAGAAACAAAATTTTATGAGCGCTTGTTCATTATTGTTTTTTAAACAACGAGATAGAAGACGGTATACAGAGTTGACGTTTATCCGTGAAATTAAATTCATATACGACCAGTTACACATATACATAATGTTTTTGTGTTTTAATTACAGAATTCAGTTCATTTTATATTGGGTGAGTTACACAATTTCAATATCTGATACTTTTGCATTAGCATATAATGCATATTAAAGTGAAATTGAAATTTAAAAAGAAAAAGGAATAACTAATATTTAAACAGCAGAATATATTGTTTTAATATCAGTTTGAGAAGGATGTATATCCTATAAAAATTAGGGGTAATTTTAAATAGGGTTTAAAGTATAAAATTGCCTTTACATATTTTATTTAGGAAATATTTACCTTTATTATTTATACATTTCCGCCTTCTTGAAGGAAAATATTCACGCTTTTGCAATAGAATTCTGGAGATCTCTACAAGGTCTATAGATTTTGTAGCACTTTCTGAGAACAAAACTTATTTTCCTTGAGGAAATTGTCCAAATTGGGGAAATAAATGGTATTCAGTTGGCGCAAAGAATATATACATTACGCGAAGTTGGGGTTAGGACTGCCGAGTACGGAGAATGACAAAACGGTTTTTAACTCCAGGTCTTGTAATGTTTAAACGGTTGGTCCAGCAGCGATGTTATGGAGCAATGATGACGAAGACCGATTGACGAGTGGGGGTTGTTTCTTTGAGTTTCAAAAGACATCTGCTGTTGTACACCATAAAATGACCAAACAGTTACTATTATTTTCTATGTGTGAGCATCGCTTTAGAGCATTGTTTCGATAGTTGACCTTAGTTTAGTCATTGCGTTTTTCAATTGCGAATATCATAATATATCCATTTTTCATCATACATCACAATTCTGCCCAATATCCCTACATTTTTGTACCTGCTATAATTAAAGCAAGGCAAGCTTCAACAGGTGCTCTTCTATGCACATCAGTTAATTCAAGAGCCACCCATTTCTTTGGTTTTTGTTTTACTAATATGACAGAATAAATAATACTACTGTATGCTAATATTCTGGGGAAAAAATGTCAAGCCTAATGACCAATTCTTCAGTAGTTTGACAAGGGTCGGCTTCGACCATTAAGTTTTAGTTAATCGTTATTTAGTTTTATGTTCTTCAATTCAAAGTTTCCACTATGAGAGCGATTCAACCAAAAACGCACACTGCGTTCGTTAGTCGACTCCTTTCCTAGCGCAGTATTGATATTGCGAGCTGTCTTTGAGAATGTGAAAATTTGAAAGTCAAACAATAATGTGTAATAAAATTTTTAAATTTGGATTTTTTTAGGTTTTGTGTAAAGTTTCATTTAAGATTCTTAGAAATTGACCACTCCATGAAAACGGCAACTTCATACCTTAACCCTTATTGTTAGGAAGAAGTGCTAAAATTAAAAAAAAAATTGTACAACCAACTTCAATATAAATTATTAAAGATAACTCAAAAACTACTGGTCAGACCTTAATGTGTATGGAACCACATAAGAAGCACCAGCTTTCAAATGAAAGAAGAATCAACAAAATTTGTTTACCTAGAAAAAAGTTATGGGGTTACATAAACAAAACATACATTCGAATTGTATACCTGCTCCTTTTTGTAGTACCGGTAAAAATGCAAGTAGAATTTGCGTAAAATATTTTAAAAAATCGTCACTCTATTATAACAATAAAATATTTTACTTTATAAAGTACTAAGACTTATCGGTAACACTTTGATAGTGCACTATATTATGTACATACGAGTATGCATGGCAAACGTCAGGCAGAGCGCCGAGCGACGTGTTCTCTCTCTGGAAAGCCTAGCGGCTGTTTAATTTGAATTGATCCAAACGCATCATCTATTTTGTGATGTAAGTGCTGTTAGCCTATGCGGCCGTTACAGCTTCAACTGTTTAGACCAAGATTAAACTTCCTAAAGTTATGAGTAATTAACATTAGTGTTAGTGTAAAATAAGCGGTTGATGGATATGTTAATACCCATCAACCGCTTATTAGTTTGAAAAGTACTGTTTTGAGCTAATCAGCGCTTGGAACGTAAACACGCCGATTTTGTGATAAGAAAATTTCTGTCATCACAAAATCAGTAAACCGTTTTATTAAATTTTCATTCACTAATTCAGTCATTCATTGCAGCTTTTCAAAAGTCCACTGTTGAACATAGTCTATCAGGAATAAATATCAGGAAGATGCTGCTATCCATCTCCCGTATTATTTCCTTCTGACCCTCTTTAGGACACCCACTAAATGATAGTGGTTAGTAGATTTCCTCACGCTGCAACTATATGATGTCATGAAATGTATGTAAAATGGTATGGACTCTTTTCAGATGCAAGTCGTGTGTTCTATGTCACTTCTTAATAAACATACTTATTTTATGGATAACAGCGATTCAGAAGCAGAAGTAGCTGATCTGATATCGGCAAAATCCTATGTGCCCAATGAAAGGGACTTACCGAAAACAACTATACTGAAAAACTTTGGTAAGATGAGAATTAATTCCAATTTTCATAAGGTCGTTTTCTAGGTTTCTTTGATAATGCAAGAGATTATGTTATTATTAGTATTATCTATGCATGTTTTCCATTTAAAAACCCAAAGCGATATTATATGGTTCTCTTTGCGTCATGTTTTCAAAAAAAAAATCAAATGAGCAGAATGAACAATCTAAATATTCATATACTACATCGTTTAGTGCCATTGCGCCTTCTCGATGAAAGTATTTTAGCACCGATGACTTACAATTGGCATCGTTCAATATTGAACGAAAAATGATCACAAACAATTTATTACGAGTAATGAATATTAACTTCCAGATCGCTTTACTTTGTATTTTTTTTGTTAAAAAGCTTTATCCTATTCTCCCATGCATACACATGATGTATTACATTTAGTATTGACATGGTTTGGGCTAATAGTTATTTACGTACTTACAACTCTCTTATGGAATAGCCATCGTAGTAGTTCTTGCTCTTAACACGGAATCGTAACCAATAACTAGTAATCTTCTGTAATTTTTTTATATAATTTATTTATATGCCTTTTAAAAAGGACTTTGTTAATATTTTATTTCAGATAATGACGCAACATATCTCCTGTCAAAATTATCTGATGAACAATTAATTAAACTATTAAATGAACAACCAGGAAAAAGTGAATATTATTTAAGCGATATTGTTAAATTGGCTAACTGGAATGCACCTAAAATGGAAAATAAAATAAATTCGGACGCGGGTCAGGGTAAACCAAATGATATAATATTAAACCATCCCTTTGATATACAAAACTCACGAGTTGACAAAAGATTTCCTACTGACGTCGCTGAAAAAGATAAAGCTCAACCAGCTTTTTTCCGATTAGAAAATAAAGAAGTAGATCCATTTCATGAAAAGAATGAAGCTAATTATGCTGCCCTCCAAAAGCTCAACAGCCTGCTGTATAGTTACCCTCAAACACAATTAGATAATAAGAGTGAAGAAGAAGATGATGAAAAGAAGGAATTGTTGTTTGACGTGCTAGTATCCCAATTGAAGACTCTTTGTTGCAAAAAGTCTGTAAAAAAACGAAAGAAACATCAGTATAAATATTTGAACCAATTTATTCCAAGAATTCCTGTGTCGAAACCGATTGGGACGGATTCCAAATCATCTCAGTTTCAAAACGAATTCATGTTTTTGATTATTAATGAAGAAATCAGAAGTAATGGTAGCGACGAATTGATTTCTGTGGACCCTGAAAGTCTTGAAAAAAATAGCAGTGTCTTATTACTTGGACCTATAACTACACCGTTATCAGACAACCAGTTAAGGATTGTTGTAAGTATCACAAAGTAAGACATTTTTTACGAATTTCTTTCTATATAACTTCAGATTATAATTTTTACGGTTAGGCTCGCCCTATTAAATAGGTAGGTGCAAGGGTTTTTCGTTACTATCGTACTTATAGTAGGTGACTGGCAAGCATTTATTCACTGGCTTGAATATTGGCTTCCAATGCTTCAAAAGTTGCTGGTTTGTCGGCATAAACCAATGACTTAACATATCCCCATAAAAAGTAATCGAGAGGTGTTAAGTCGCATGAACGACCACTTTTGGAAACAAAGTTGTCTCCAAATTGATTTTGCAATAAATTGATGGTTAAGCACGCTGTATGGCAAGTTGCGCCGTCTTGTTGGAACCCAATGTCGTCGATGTTTAGCTGATTAATTTTTGGAAACAAAAAATCAGCATGGCTCGATAACGCTCGTAGTTCACCGTAACGGCAGCTCGTTTCTTATTTCGAAAGAAATAAGGACCGATCATGCCGCCAGCGTGTAAACCGCACCAAACTGTCAATTTTAATGGATGTAATGGTGACTCGTTAATGGCATGAGGATTGTCTTCGCTCCATATACGGCAATTTTGCTTATTCACGAAGCCATTTAACCAGAAATGAGTTTCATCACTAAACACAATTCTTTGATAAAAATGCTCATCTTCGGCCAGTTTCGAATTAACCCAATCAGCAAAAATGCGACGTAAATAATGGTCATCATCATCATCATCATTACAGCCCTTCACAAGTCCACTGCTGAACATAGGCCTCCCCCAAAGAATGCCACAAAGCACGGTCCTGAGCCACCTGCATCCATCGACTTCCTGCATGTCTTACCAGGTCGTCACTCCATCTCGTGGGGGGACGCCCTACACTTCGCCTACCGGTACGAGGCCGCCACTCGAGAACCTATCTTCCCCATCGGTTGTCGGTTCTTCGAGCTATATGGCCGGCCCACTGCCACTTCAGCTTACTAATCCGTTGGGCTATGTCGGTTACTCTGGTTCTACTGCGGATATCCTCATTCCTAAGTCTATCACGCAGAGAAACTCCGAGCATAGCCCTCTCCATAGCTCGCTGAGCGACTTTGAGCTTTCTCATCCGGCCAGCAGTGAAGGACCACGTCTCAGTTCCGTAAGTCATCACTGGCAACACGCACTGGTTGTACAATTTCGTTTTAAGGTTTTGAGGTATGTCTGACGAGAAGATGTGTCTTAGCTTCCCGAACGCTGCCCAGCCGAGTTGAATCCGTCGATTGACCTCTCGGTCGAAGTTGGACTTACCTAGTCGGACTATTTGTCCCAGGTAAACATACTCGTCATCAACTTCGAGCTTAGTGTTCCCAACAACTACCGGCATAGGTGTGACGTGGACGTTATATTTAAGTTAAATAATTTAGCTAACTAATTTGACCTTAGTATTTAATATTACTATTATTACATTAAACATGATCTTTGTTTTGTCCATGTTCATCTTAAGACCTATCCGTTGGGAAACACTATTGAGGTCATTGAGCATAGTGCTTAGGTCCTCCAGCGATTCTGCCATAAGGACTATATCGTCGGCAAATCGAAGGTGAGTGATGTACTCGCCATTGATGTTGATACCGTATCCTTTCCAGTCCAGAAGCTTGAAAACGTCTTCCAATGCAACGGTGAAGAGTTTCGGGGATATGACGTCACCCTGTCTTACACCTCTCTGCAATTGGATAGATTTCGTACTCTGGTTCTGTACTCGGATAGCCATCGTAGCCTTATTGTACAAGCACTTCAACACTTCGATATACCGACAGTCAACTTGGCACCGCTGAAGGGACTGCAGCACCGCCCAAATTTCGACGGAATCAAAGGCTTTCTCATAGTCCACATACGCCAGACATAGTGGCAAATTGTACTCTTCGGACTTCTGTACAATTTGCCGAAGGGTATGTATGTGGTCTATGGTGCTAAAGCCCTTTCGGAAACCGGCTTGTTCGGGAGGCTGGAAGTCGTCAAGTCTGCGCGCGAGACGATTCGTAATGACTCTCGAAAACAGCACGTGGACGCGGCTCAGAAGGGAAATCGGTCTGTAGTTCTTCAAGAGAGCGTTGTCACCTTTCTTGAAGAACAAGACTACCGCACTTCTGCTCCACGCCTCCGGTGTAATGCTACCATGGAGGACGGAATTAAAGAGCTTCTGAAGGACTTCAAGTACCGGTTTTCCACCCGCTTTCAGAAGCTCCTCTGTAATTCCATCCTCGCCTGGGGCCTTACCGTTTTTAAGGTGCTGGAGAGCCATTCTAATCTCGCTCAGACTGACGTCCGGGATATCTTCGGAATAGTGTCGGATGAGACTCGCTCTTGGATCGTTACTCACACTTGCGTGTGGCTCCAACGATGACGTGTACAACTGCCCATAGAACCTCTCAATCTCACTCAAAATCTCAGGTGTCCCGGAAACGATGCTGCCACATTCTGTCTTCAGCTTTGACAGTTGGCTCTTTCTGGCAGACAGATCTCTGGCAAAGACTTTGGAGCCTTGGTTCCGCTCGATCGCTTTTTCAATACGAGCTGTATTGAAGTTGCGTAAGTCCCGCCGCATGCATTTGGAGATCTGTCTGTTCAGATGCCTGTATGCTGTCAAGTCTGTTGAAGAATGTAGCTTCATCTCCCGTCTAACAGCCATGAGATTAAGAGTGTGATCGGAGAGTTTTTGTGTTCTTCTGCGGCAGGTCTTGCAGAACTTAGCTCCAACCGCATGGACAGTTTCCACGAGCTTGTCATTCTAATCGTCCACTTCATTGCAGTCTTCTAGGCACTGAAAACGGTTTTGTAACTCGAGCTCAAAGGTTTCGGGACTTTGGATTAGAGCACGAGGGGGACGGAGCGTTGACTTCATTAGACGAGACCTCTCCAACTTAACGTTTAGGTTCAGTGTGCCTCTAACCATTCGGTGATCGCTACCAGTTTTCACCCTCGCGATAACGGAGACATCACTGAACAGTTGTCGTCTGGTCGTCATAATGAAGTCAATCTCATTTTTTGTCGAACCGTCGGGGCTCGACCAGGTCCACTTCCTGTGGGGCCGCTTCTGGAAGAAAGAGTTCATCATAAAGAGTCCCTCTTTCTCGCTGGCCGACTTCATGGAGAAATAATGGTCATTTGGCTTTAATTTTTGGCGCGAGCTGTATTTTATAGGCACTTAAGCCTATCCTTTCGTATATAATATAGTAATTTTCCACGTAGTCGAAGGACAAAGGCCAACAACTTGAGACTTGAGAACGATGACGAATCGACATTTCGGCGTCTTCTTCAACACTTCGCGCTACACCAGCAATATTCTCTTCGGTACGCACATTTCTTTGTCTTGTTGAAGGGTTTGAATCGAGAAGAGTAAAATTAGTGCGGAAACGATGAATAACTGCACGAATTGCTTGCTCTTATGTTGACCATAAAATGCCGATTATGTTGAACATAAAATGGACGAAGTGCTCTATGACTTCGCGAACAGATTTATTTTTTTCAATGTAAATTTCCACAATTTGGATGCGTTGTTCTGGTGTTAAACGATTCATGATAGTGTTCCTTAAACATCGATAGACTATCGATTAATCGATAGTGTTCGCACTATCGATTCTATCGACAGTCTGGTTAAACTATCGATTGCCATCCTTATTGTAATTTTTGTTTATAGTATATGTTACGTCCTACAGCTGCCCCTGCAAAGGTCGTCTTGGCTGGGGCCCAAAGCAGCTCCCTCGACGTGCAGACGCAGGTCGGGCCCAATGGCCATATGGAAGAATTTCCTATAATACTAAGCTATATGGTAGAAGGCTAGGGATATATAGTACGTACCTGTTTCCGACTCTTAGATCGCCCCAAGGCTCGGTCAGGCCGTAAGTAGGTGTGAGGTGCATGGCAAGTAGTGTTTAGTGATGTGTAAATGTCTGAGACCTGGACCAGCTTAGACGACCAGCAGCAGCCGAGTTCCAGGCTGCCCCACAATGCTGCATCGCTCCAGCCGGCTCCACCGCTGGACCATTTCTTTCTTCATTGTCACTATTTCAGTCTATTAGCTTCATTGTACATTTAACTAACTTAAGCTCGCCTAATTCCACATTCATCGTAGAATCGAACACGTGATACCCGACACAGTAAGGACAGTAGTTCAAAATTCGACATTCAATGTCCCGGATTCACTTATCACAAAATTATAAATAGGGAACTAACGTGATCTCTTAATGAGTCATACGGTTCAACGTTAAACACAACTAAGTTCCTTCATTCGACACCAAAACACCACGTCGCGAAAACAATTCAAAATACGCCTCGTTGACACGTAAACTAACAAACCAACCAACACACCAAAAAAGGGCACTTAACGCGACGGCACAATTATAATGATTTCCAGACAATCAACCGGGAGACGCTCTCGACCAAGGAATGCGCGGTTCGAATCCTAGACCGTATAACTACTCGACGCGCGCGTGCGCAATTCCGCATCACTCGAACAAGTTAAATATTGCAAAATTCACATTTCCACGTAGCGAAGTAACACGCACTAAATGTAACTATCTGGACCCTACACGGTCGCGTTAACTTCGGCCGCGATAGTCGAGATACGCGGATTCACCGCATCGCGGCCAGCGAGCTACTGCTTCTTCGCCCACACGTCGAGCCACTGCAAGCCGCACACGGCCGCCTGGCGGCGTTTTTTTTCACCTACATACCATCGGGTGACGCGCCAGCTCGAACGCAATTGGATGGCGTTCAAAAATGACCAAATTTGGGCATAAACAGTATATGTCTCCCTTAGTCTAACGTCAGAGAAATCCTTGTAAATAAACTGTGTGTGAATAGCTAATTAATATGTGTGACGCTGACGTAAGTCACTATTTGTGCGAGTGCTAGAACGGGCGGTTGATCTTGCGTTTTAAAGTTTACTGATTTGTTTTGTATTTGAGTTCATAATGAATCGAAAATTTATCCTAAAAATCAATTATTAATGTGGAGTTATTTCTAGATAGTGAACAATAATAGTCCGTTTGTGAAGTGTTACTTTTATAATCAAGAATATAATCATTTACGAAATACGACCAATCTAAGAGATCACTTTTAAATAAAACATGCTGATAAAATAGATAGGTTTGAATCGGAAGAGGGATCGTCGTCTGATAATCAAGTTCCAAATGAAGTGCAACCAAAAAATCTAGAAATTCTTTTAAAAATTATTTTTATAGAAATCAGTTGATGAAGACAAAGCTTATTGTGACTTTTCTTCACAGTTCTACTCTAGCCAGTGACAAATTGCGTATTTCTCATGTGCATACCTGCTCAAAGACAATCGATAGTCTATCGATATGTCAATTGTCTTATAAGAAACTATCGATTACCATCGAATACTTCAACAATCGATGTTTAATGAATACTAATTCATGATGAATTGACAAACCTTACTGAACATAAATGTCAACATAGTTTGACATTCTTAACTATTAAATCATAGACAATCATAGACATTCTTAACTATTAAATCATAGACAACAACCATTGTAACTTCTAAGGCAGCTAAAAAAACACCCAATACCTCGGTCTGAATGTAGAAATAACTTTTAATTTTTCTTATTTCTCATGAGTGTTTTTTTTAAATATAATAAGGGTGACAAACGAGCACACAGTTCACCTGATGGTATGTGGATAATGTGGCCCATAGACATCTATATCTGCTCTCAATTAAGAAACTGCAGGAGCGTTATCATCCTTGAGGCCTAAGATACCAGTAAAAAGGGACTTCGGTTCTTTACACATCATTAGAAACATAGCAAAACTGTTTTTTATGCTGGTATTGTCTGCGAGAATACCAGTATAAAATAACAATATGTGGTCAATTCAGGGTAATCCAGATCTAAATCCTGCCTGTCTCATGTATGTTGATAGTTTACTTCATTGTAATTCGATTCAAGATTATTTTGATGGCTATAATTACATATGTCATCGTTGTCTTTTTTGTGTAATAGGGTTGTAGTGGTAGTTGTCCACTGTGTAGGAATGTACGCTGTATCCAGTATTTGAAGTGGCTAGTTAAATAAGGTAAAATCTGAAATTGTTCCTTTTATGTCTTCGTTTGTCTGGATCAGGTAGTTTTTATTCCGCCAGTTTTATTGATATGATTCATATTCTTATTCCGTCTCCTGTAATAATTTTGCTAATTTCCTTTCTTGATTTGTTATTTCTTCTAAATTTGATTTGCCCCTTTTATTTTCGATAATTTCACTTCTTTTTGATATATTTCTTTGTGAAACTAAGTACTTCTGATTTTTTGTCTATAGATATTGTTTAATATTGTCATACATCTATTGCTTAAACTGCATCATTAGTTTCCTTTGTTATAATCTTCTGTCAGCTTACCAAGCTTAAATATAAAGTTTAAGCTTGGTAAGCTGATAGGAGATGTAGGAGCCAAAGTGTTTTCTATGCATTCTTTCTTCAGTGTTATTAGGGTATCATACGATGATTGGTATTAAATTTTACTTGGGAAACTACCTTCACATTTTAAATGCTTGCGAAGTCCACGTGCAGATTTTAGATTTTGCTTCTGAAAATAACTGTTTATAAATGATAGATTATTTGCAAGAGTTATATTTATTTTTCGCTGTCCGTTTGCTTATAGTGTTATAGGCTTTTAGTTCCTATGCTGAATTTCCCCATGACGTATTCTTCTTCTTCTCTTTGGTTTCTTCATCTTCCTTCCATAGTTATGTTATTTTACGCAGTTCCTATGGTTCCTAATAAATCTGTATAAAATCATATTCGTATTTATTAATCCGCTGGGTCTGTTGGTGAATATAATTGCACTTTTGACTAATCGTTGTTATGTCCTGGTAGATTTATGTTTACGTTTGCAATTTTCTCTGAGAATCCCTTAATGAATATGTTTTTAAATTATATTTTTATCATAAATCCTAACAAATACAGTTGTTTACTTCCTCCTATAGTAGTGTACAGTCGTGATGTTCTTTTATCTGGTTTCCCATTCATCTCACTTCACTTAATCATCATATTTAACTATTTACACAGGGGCTTCAAATTCGTCTAGTCTTTCATTTGCTCTTAAAGTTAATGTGTTTAAAGTTGCTAATTGTTATAAGTTGTTTCGTTTAGTACTTACTAGTAGAATGTCTTGTGAGATTTTTATATTTTGGGTTGTTATTGTTTTTCATATGTTTGTCATGACGTTTGTGTCAATTTTTTTTTTATAAGATAGGGTGACAAACGAGTACACATTCCACCTGATGGTGAGTGGTTGCTGCGGTCCATAGACATCCACATTTATCCTCAACAAAGAATCAAAATGCAGATGCGTCGTCACCCGTGAGGACTAAAATGAAATGCCTTCCAGTAAAATGGGTCTCCGGTTCTCTACACTCATCATACGAAACACAGCAGTGTCAAGTTGCTATTTTACGTTGGTATTCTGTGAGAGCGTGGTTCTTCCCCGGTCGAGCCGACCCATTCGTGCTACAACTATACTACTAATATAGCTGCAGCATGGCTCTACCACGTATAAAATTGTTTTTTGGAGACTGGCGGTCATCTTTCCCCATCTTGGGGGAGAGATTTGTTTGTTGATATACATATTTCGGTTTGTTTCTTGTCAGTTAAGTACTGGATAAAACAAAATATAAAATTTTATTGCAGATGGCTAGAATTTCAAACGAATTATCCAAGCCAGAATATGTACCACTATTGCAGCAACTATCAGCAGGTGCAATCAGTAACACAGATACAAGTCTACTAAGAAGCGTTATTAGCGGTCCGCAAACCAGACGTTATATCAAACCCCACAGATGCAACCACCAATCCAAACTTGCAAAAATATACGGTGGACCAAAATGGTTAATTTGTACTGGCTACCTGAATCTTAACACTCCAAGTGTATACGATTAGAACAAATATATTAATATACCATTGATACATATTTTATTATTTTTGCTAAGTATGTAGAGATTGACTACGATAACACGGGCGGCCCCTCCAAAATTCAAAACGTTCGAAAGTATTTGTGAAAATATTTACTGGTATTTACAAAGCGCCACCAAGACTCACAGCACGTGTGTGCGTACTGAGACGGGCGTCAAACGAAAATTTATACAAAGATTTGTTGCTCGACTAGCCGCATCATTAATAGCCCATTATTATTAGTATGGTGCTGCACTGGCATACCTACTCTATGAAAATTATACGTGGGTTGTCTTGCGCGGTCAGCTAAGTTATGATTAGTGACCAAGAAATCTGGTAATAAGTGAGACTTATAACTACATACAAACTATTTTGTAAGGATGTGACTACATACATTAAAACAGTTATTTGAAGGAGCGAGCCATGTTATCGTATCTCTAGCTTATAATTTAACAGGTAACTATGCAATTAAGTATAAGAAAGAAGAGGCGCTACTTATATAATAAATTTATGACACTTACGATATGCTAACCTTACGAGTATAATCCTTCAGTACTCAAGCAAAGACTTCTATGTACCGGCAATTCAGAACAAAAACTGTGTCACCGCTGTGGGTCTCGGATTGAGAATTGTTCAGTTTTTTTGCGATCTGCCACGTTCCATTTACAAAAAGATCGCTTTACTTTTCATGTAGAAGTAATTTTTAGTTATATTTACTTTTTTTAATATAATAATTACAATAATAACGGTGGTGTTATTTCGGATTTGTTTGCCATCACATACCATCTATATCGGGAATAAACACTATGGCTACTCCCCTCCAGTCTGCCGGTGGCTTGTATAGCTTTAAGGGTTACATAATTAGTAAGGATGACATTCACACTTGCTCGGATAAGGTAAAGGCAATATTAGACACTCCAGCTCTTATGAACGTGTCAGAGTTAAGACCTTATATAAGAATGATAATGTATGCGATTCATAAAAAATATTAGCACTAATCTTGCACCATTATACAGGTTATTTTTCAATAACCAGCCAAATTTGCAGAAAACGTTCAGAATAAGTAATATAAGCAAATGGTGAAGAAGAATTAATTAAAAGAATCTCAAAAGTTCTGTCATTTTTTAACTGATTGTCATTCATAAATATTTGACGCTTACTATTTTATGCATGCACACATTCGTAAGGCTCGCTCGGTAAGGTACCTTGTCGCGCGTCTTCCTTCTTTCTTATTATGAAACTATGAAATGGTACGATATTACATTTTAAGCAATTAAAGTTTACGTAGTACATACTAAGATACTAAAGTGAATCTTTACCGCGGCAAGAAATTAACGTACGTGTCGTAATTAACCTATCAATCCAAGAACAATTCACAGATAGTCAAACTATTCCACTTGAATGAGGTGAAGTGAGTGATAACTTAAATAGTGAATATGAAGATAGGTGGATTGCGCACGGAGCCCCTATACTATGGTCTGCACACTCGCCTGAACTTTCACCGTTAGTCTCTTATCTGTGTATTAAGAGCCGTGTTTATGTCAAACAGGCCCAAAGTTAAGAAGACCGCCACAGTAAAATTATTGCTTATTTACGGAAGTTAAAAGTGCTCAAGAACAAGAAACCATGCTCGTCAATGCATAAAGATTAAAGAATGTTCAACCATTCGGAAATCTTCGGAATCCCTCGGTTGCGCCCCCGCACGCAACGAGTTCGGTTTTTCTCGCCTCGCCATTCGATCTGATCGTCCGACGCCGTCAGGCCGCTCGTTCGCGCTCCGATCCGCTAAGCGACCTTGAGCTTCTTCATACGGTCAGCATGGAAGTACCACGTCTCAGATCCATAAGTCATCACTGGCAACATCGCTGGTTGTACAAACTTGAAAGTTTTGAGGTATACCTAACGGGACCATACGTCCCGTTTGAAACGGGACTGTCCCTTTTATCGGTCACCTGTCCCGTTGTCTTCAAACAAAGCTCCGGGATGCAAAATAGCCCCGTTTTCCGAAACCGCGCAAAAATTTAAAACTATAAAGTTTATCAGACACGAATGGACTAGAGCGAGACCGACCAAAAAATTACCGAATGGGATAATTTAAAACTTTCTGCAGAAACTTGTTGGGTGGAAGTATTCAAACACTTCAATTTTGAAAACATTCTTCAATATAACTCTTTTGTTTGTATTTTAATCGAATACATTTCATGTCTACCTGGTACAAATGCTCCAGTAGAGAGTATTATCTATTATGAATAAATTGTGGACGCCTGAAAAAAATCACTTACGGTTCCAGTTGTAAAGGCGTTGTTGATAACAAAAGTTAATATAAAAAAACACATGACGGAATTTTATTCTTATTTAAAATCATCACCAACTTTATTACAGCAAATTTCTATTCCACTGACAAATATAGGTAAATGTAATTAAAAAAATATGTTACATTTAATAATTACTCTGAGGAACTTTGCATTAATGAAGCTGGTGAACTGGTGATTGATTTTTATTTTTTAATTAATGTGAATATTATTATAGTGAGTACTAATTGTATAAAGTTACAGTTTTTCGAAATAAATAACATTAAAAAGTTGTGTTTATTTTTATTGTTAACCTGTTAATTGGAGAGTATGAGTAAACCCATGTCCCGTTTTCAGTTAAAAAATAAATAGTCACTTTAGATACCAGCCGAGATGTGTCGTAATTTCCCGAACGCTGCCCAGCCGAGTTGAATCCGTCGATTGACCTCTCAGTCGAAGTTAGTCAACAACTTCGAGCTTAGTGCTCCCAACAACTACCGGCATAGGTGTGACATATACGTTACACATAATTTTTGTTTTGTTCATGTTCATCTTAAGACCTATCCGTTGGGAGGCACTATTGAGGTCATTGAGCATAGTGCTTAAGTCCTCTAGCGATTCTGCTATAAGGACTATAACGTCGACAAATCGAAGTCTTTTCCAGTCCAGTAGATTGAAAATATCTTCCAATGCAGCGGTGAAGAGTTTTAGGGATATAACCTCACCCTGTCTTACACCTTTTTGAAGTTGGATAGATTTCGTACTCTGGTTCTGTACTTGAATAGCCTTCGTAGTTCTACTGTACAAACAAATCAGCACTTCGATATACCGATAGTCAATTTGGCACCGCTGAAGGGACTACAGCATGGACGGAATCAAAGGCTTTCTCATAGTCCACATACGCAAAACATTGCACTCCTCGGTCTTCTGTACAATTTGCCGAAGGGTGTGTATGTGGTCTCTGATGCTAAAGCCTTTTCGGAAACCGACTTGTTCGGGAGACTGGAAGACGTAGAGTCTGCGACGAAACGATTCGTAATAACTCTCGAAAACAGCACGTAGACGCGGCTAAAAAGGGAAATCGGTCTGTAGTTCTTTAAGAGAGCATTGTCGTCTTTCTTGAAGAACAAGATGACCACAGTTCTGCTCTACGCCTCCGGTAGTGCCACCAAGGATGACGGAATTTAAGAGCCTCTGAAGGACTTCTAGTACCGGTTTTCCACCCGCTTTCAGAAGCTCTACTGTAATTCCATCCTTGCCCAGGGACTTTCCGTTTTTAAGGTGCTGGAGAGCCATTCTAATTTCGCTCAGATTGACGTCCGGAATATCATCGGAATAGTGTTGAAAAAAGTTTCTCGAGTGGAGGCCTCGTACAGGCGAACGAAGTGTACGCCGTCCCCCCATTAGATAGCGACCTGGTAAGACATGCAGGAAGTCGATGGATGCAGGTGGCTCAGGACCGTGGTTTGTGGCATTCCTAGAGGGAGGCCTATTAACAGCAATGGAGTGATGGGCTGTAATGATGATGATGATGAGTGTCGAATAAGACTTGCTCGCGGATCGTTACTCACACTTGCGTGTGGCTTCAACGATGATGTGTACGGTTGCCCATAGAACCTCTCAATCTCACTCAAAATCTCAGGTGTCCCGGAAACGATGCTGCCACACTCGGTTTTTAGCTTCGACAGTTGGCTCTTTCTGGCAGACAGATCTCTGGCATAGATCTTTGGAGACCTGGTTCCGCTCGATCACGTCTTCAATACGAGCTGTATTGAAGTTGCGTAAGTCTCGCCACATGCATTTGGAGATATGTTGCTTGTATGGTGACAAATCTACTGAAAACTGCAGTTGGGAGTGTGCTCGGAGTTTTTGTGTTCTTCTGCGGCAGGTCTTGCAAAACTTAGCTCCGACCGCATGGACAGTTTCCACGAGCTTGTCATTCATATCATCGTTACGATACGTTGTGAATAAACGATTATATAATATCTGGTGTATTCATTATTCACATCCCTACAAGAGAAACGGATTCCATTTTAAGGTACCATATTAGATATTGGGACTACTTGAGTAATTAATTAGTAAATAGTTTATTCCAATGTTTAAATACGCCATAATAAGGACAGTCGTCGATTACGTCGTTGATAAGCAAAAATATTTTTTATAATTTCTAGTACGAGTATTACGTGACGATACCTCTTTAAAAGTGTAAAAGGAATTTTGGAATCATAATTATCGTGAAGTAGTTATGCTCTTAAGCATTAGTAACAAGCGTGTCACTAAGAAAGTAAACAGTAGGCAAAAACTTGAGAAACGAAAATGTGGATTGAATCACATACACAGGAGCGCAAGTAAGAGTAGTTGTTGGCCATAAATCACATTCAATTTGGCATAATTTCAAATAAACGTAGAAGCCTTATTTACTCGCATTTTCAAAAAATGTAATATCGATATATAATAATTCATTTATTTGAACTTCAATATGAAATTTGGCTACTCTTTGAAAAATAAACCTGTATAATTTATTACGTACGGGAATAAAATTCGATTGGAGTGATGATTGTAAGCGAGTTTTTAAAAAGGTAAAATTACTGTTGAGGTCAATTAAAATGTTTATGCATTAATCTAGCGATTCGCCAATTGTGCTGACGTGTGACAAGTGCAGCGTGGGTGTAGGTACAGTCATCTCTCACCTCCTCC